TTGATGACGTGTCACAAAAACAGTGATTCGCACACCTAGCCGTACGAAATGCGTCTCGGCGTTTTTATGCCCCATCAACTCCACAAAAGGGGCGCTCTGAATAAACACTACTTTCTGGCGATCACATCTGTATAAATTTGCGCTTAAATCCGACCGAACAGTTTTGCCGAATGTACTAGGTATGTTGCAGCCCTAATTTTATTGTTAAAGTATCTATCATTCATTTTGTATTTTGACTAGTGAGATAACGAGTAATACGGAACGTGGTTTGGGTTTTTAAGGTTCATTTCTGCTCAATTTTATTCAATTTAATACTCAATCCTTAGCGAATACTCAGCATTCATTTCATCATAGCGTACACAACATGAAATTCAATAACACCGTGTTAGATTTAGTCAGAAAAAAACAAAAAAAGTAGCTGCTGGTATTGTATTTTGAAACGGAATAAAATGTGAGAACGCTATGAGGCAATTATCCGTCTCACTGGTTTTATTTTAGAAAGTCTAAATTCAGTTTCTATTTTGAGAGCTGCTACTCTTTACATTAGCGCGGGTGACGTATAGTTAACGTTTCCAGTTAATACTGGCCTTAGGAAGCCTGGCCCACGCAATCAAGAGCACTTCAGTCGGCATCGATGCAGTTGGCGATAGTGCACGCCCGTAATATTTACACGAGACCTGAAAACCGCGGAGTTTTGAGTGCTACATTCGTCCGCTAGACTTTTGAATGACTAAAAGAGATATTATAACATGTAACTTATTATATTTCACTGATTTTATTCCAACGTTGTTTTAGTAGTTCAAGTAGGCTTAAACCTAGCTTAGTGTAAGTTTGTTCAGTGGTTAGTGTAAAATAGTTGTTCGCACAATTCTCGATGACTCGAAGCTTCCATTCGTTCGTGACTCAGTAACATAAATTTCATTTTCATACAGGTAAGTTACTTAACTTAGTTATAGAGTATTTGTAGGGCGAGAAAGGACAGAGACCAGCGTGCCGTCGTATTGGTATTCGGTCAAATTTTATTCGAAGTTTGATCTAGCGAAGAAATGGCGCTATTTAAGAGTGCTACATAAAATACACTACTTATTAAACAAATTGAGCCTTTTACAACTGTACAAGCGTAAACATAATTACCCATTTAATTTGGCTCTCACGAACTAAAAATAGATTAAACGTGAATTCGACGTTTATTTTGATAGGAGGTTGTCAGTAGGTAGTGATATACGATCCGGCCTGGGTCCCGTTTGTTAACCTTATTACTTATCTACTTAAATATATAATTTTGTGTTTTATATAAATGAAACTGACTTTCATGAATATCTACAAGACAAAGAAAAAAGCAAGAGCCGCGGCCCAGTCGCACCATCCAACATATTTTGGTGAAACCCTTTCCAAACCATTAAAATAATAACATAAAAACCATAAAATTCGTTTCAGTAATACTTGAATACTAGTTTGGAATTCTATTATTATTTTTTGCAACGTTGACTTTCAAAACTATACCGTTACCGATTGATTCAACTTAAGTGAGCAAAACTCGAGGAACGCTATCGGACAAATGGTACCTTTTTACTTTATCATTAGTGTTAAATTTATTGGACCATTCGTAGAATTAATATTTATTAATTTTACCTTCGCAGTATACATCTTTGACACACATTAGAGGTTGAAATTTGGTTCCTCGAAATTGCTTTTCATAGAACAGATATGAAGACGAAGAACCTCCGAAGTTAACGGGGAGACTCTCCAGTCTCCCCGTGACTATGGCTGCTGCAAAAGCATCCGAAACGTCGGGCCGAAGTTAAAAACTAATATATCGCGTTTTAAACCGTTAAAGTGTTTTATTTAAATGTATACTACTCGCGTAAACTATAGACAGTATTTAACCTCCGAAGTGTTTTAAAACAACATAGCATATACATATTTCCTACTACATTATTTATATTATATATCAACCACGACGTCGGTCGTGGATGTTTTTTTTAAATCCTTCGTATTTCGCAAGACAAAGAACTAGCAATTCGACTTTATTGACGTAGTCGATGAAGCCCAAGCCTTTCATCCAGAAGTATACGTTTCAAGTCGGTTGCCCTCAATAGCATTTTGAGTACATTAACCTGTATTGTATATTTAATGCAATATGTAGGTTACAAGTTCAGTATTTCAGATACGCATTCGGTTAAAAAATTTATCGAATATTTTTATAAACAAATAGCTGACTTCAGACAGTATAAACTAAAAAATATATTTTTTGTTCTTCACTCAAAGTAATCCATATTTCACGTAAAATAGAAATATCTTAATACATATTTTCATATTATAATTTTGGAGTCGGTGCCAAGTTAAACTTTAACTGTGCTTTTATACCAAGTTCCAATCTTTCTTAAAACTAATGACGTATTCAACACTACTACTTACTAGTAGGCCTTAAGCCAGTAGAGTAGCAAGGGGCTCGCTTTCTACTGTGTTGGACTATCCATTTTGCATTCGTACGGATCACACACGTGTGGGCGGCTCGTAGAGATTCGTCTGTAGACGCGGACGTCCGTAGACGCATCTGTCTACGGCTAGAGGGAGCACGAGAGACGCTACGCGATCTTCGCTAGAACGTAGGGGTTTGATCAAGTCCCCCGGCAATATACAGCATTAGAATTATAAATATCGACGTATTATTTTCCTTAATTTACACGAACTTATAACAATTATTTAGCAATGTCTTAGGCGCAAAGATTGAACTGTAAAACTTACAGGTAGCAGTGCTTAATTCGTTTTGATATGTTTTCTTGCCAGTTCTCAGAGTGCTTAAGAGGCTTTTTACCTCCACCTTGCTCAAAGGCACAACGCCGGAGGCATGGAGCAGAAGCGTAGTGGTCCTGTTCTTCAAAAAAGGTGACAAATCCCTCCTGAAGAACTACAGACCGATCTCGCTTCTGAGCCATGTCTACAAGCTGTTCTCTAGGGTCATCACGAATCGTCTCGAACGTAGGCTCGATGAATTCCAGCCACCCGAACAAGCCGGTTTCCGAAAAGGCTACAGCACCATAGACCACATACACACGGTGCAAGAGTATAACCTGCCATTATGCTTAGCGTTTGTGGACTATGAGAAGGCCTTTGATTCGATCGAGACCTGGGCCGTGTTTAAATCTCTCCAGAGGTGTCGCATCGATTATCGATACGTCGAGGTGTTGAGGTGCTTGTATAAGAACGCCAATATGTCAGTCCGAGTACAAGATCGGTGTACGAAGGCCATCCCAGTGCAACGCGGTGTTCGGCAAGGTGATGTTGTCTCACCAAAACTTTTTACAGCTGCTCTGGAAGACGCTTTCAAGCTCCTAGAATGGAAAGGACTGGGCATCAACATTAACGGCGAGTACCTCACCCATTTGCGTTTTGCCGACGATATTGTGATCATGGCACAGTCTTTGGAGGATCTAAACACAATGCTCGAAGACCTCAACAGTGTTTCCAAGCAGGTCTTGTCCATGTTCATACTCAGGCCGAGTATGAACATGGACAAGACAAAAATAATGTCGAACGCCCATGTAGTGCCTACCTCTGTATCTATTGGAAGCACTGTACTCGAAGTTGTTGACGAATACGTCTACCTGGGTGAAGTAATACAATTAGGTCACACACATGCGCAAATACAATATGTCTGTTTTGACGCCATGTCAGAATTAACCAAATCATTCATGTATCGGGGTCAGGCTGTAGTTACTAAGTGCCTACGATTTCCCTTTGAAAAAAAAGTGACATAAATCTTATTGTAAAAATCATAAAACCTTGAAAAATAGTTACACAAATTATTAGAAAATACGGTAAACCAGGATCGCCAACATGTGTGTGTATGTGTATCCTGTTGTTTTGGATGCATTGGACTGCGATCGGTTACGTTTTTATTATATGTATAGATGTCATCCAGGCCAATATACGAGTAATACGAATAGTCTTTTTAATTCCCTTCTTTAAAAATCAAGCAAAAATAGAAAAAAGGCGAGAACAGAAATGTAGCGTTGGAGGATCTAATGTCGCGATCCGACCGTACATAGTCACAAAATGTAAGGGCTACAAATCATTAGCGAATAGCATGGAACAGATTATTTTGTATATAATATTATAATTAAGCTTAGTATAAATCATTATTTTTGTAATATATAAATGTGGGTCTAACACTTGGTCGGTTGTTTGTGGATTGTTATAAAAGGGGGTGCGCTGTAGAGTGGGTAGGGCAGTTGCTTTTGAGAAAACGTACGTTGAACATTGGTTACAACGTTGGTGACATCAGAATTGTCTATTGCTTAACGTATTTTGAAACGTAGACGTTGGTTGTTTGGACGTTGTTGTAATAAATAGGTTATGATATAATATATACTTCTTATTATATTGAATTGGGATCAATATATGTCAATTAAGTATCGTAACCCTGTGTAATATATATATATAAATATGACACTATATCTTCTTGTTATTTACATAAAATCCTTAAAATCTAATATTAGTATTTAAAGTCTAAGTCCAATATCTATAATGACTATAACTATACAATAATGTCTTTAATAATAAAAAATTAACACATGCATCGTTTTACGTCATTACATCTGCGAACACAGCACGCACGAGAATCTACGCAAAATTAAACAAATAAAGCACATATGAACTACAGACACACACGACTACTACAGGTTCTAATTGAAAAAAATCTGGTTAGAGCATTTATTGAGGAAGGCTAGAAGGGCTATACTATACATAGCGCTGCGACCAATAGGAGCGAAAAAACACAGTGAAATGTGGCAAAAATCATTTGTCTGTTGCATGCTCTGCGAAAACGATTCTAGATACCCACAATATATGAAAGAATTATTCTTTTTTAATCTAATCTAAAAAATGTCCGCAAAATTAACTCACAAGAAGTTGAAATACTTCCTATAATGGTAAAACAACATTTGCCAGGTCAGCTAGTATGATTATATATTTAAATTTTTGCTCTTTGTTTTAGCATGGGGATTACGTCGTCAAATAAACGCTTCGACCTCGACGCATATCACGAAGAGATGAAAGAGTGCCCACGACCAGGAAGAACAATCTACTCACTGAATGGTAAGTACCTATAGCAATAAGTTTGTCTAACACAGTGAAATACTGCTCACCTGGGGCATGGGCATAGATGTGATACATCTAATTCATTTGTACTTAAAATACGTGATAAAGATGCATCTTGTATCTTACGATTTTACAAACATTTTTAATGTACAAGTAACAATTTAAGCGTACAATTGAACATGGCATTATTAGTCTGTACAACGCAATTTATGTTAGAATAACATCAAACAAATCCAATAAAAATAGATATTTTTATTATTAAATGCGTAACCAATATTTCTGACTACATTTATACGTTGTAGACCTTGGGCAGTGTTCATCCTTTTAAAATTTCACATTTATCTCTTAACCTAACCTATCGCATTTTGTTGGGCTTCAAAAGATACAGAAATGTTTAAATACACTGCTAGTTTGGCACTGCAACACATATGCACGCCAAGAAACAGAGAGCAACTTGGTTTTACCAGCGAGGAGAATAAGTTGTCTTTGAGGGCTTTTGTGGCGTGCGCTGCGAAAACGGTTAGAGAAAAATATGTGTTCAATGATCTAGAAAATGTCCGCGCCAGTATTTATCTAATTTATCTACAACGTTAATAACAAAAGGTAGCAATTACCTTCCTTACTAATCCTTACTAAATATTATAAATGCGAAAGTAACTCTGTCTGTCTGTCTGTCTGTTACTCTTTCACGCCAAAACTACTGAACGGATTTGAATGAAATTTGGTACACATATGGTCTAGACCACGAGAAAGAACATAGGCTATTGCGAACTACTTTTTATTGCGAAAAAGGGGGTTGTAAGGGGTTAAAAGGGGGGGGTGAAATTTTGTATGGAAATTCGTGGTTTTTGATGCTAGAACAATGAAACTTTCTTCTTTGGCTATTTGAGAATAGGAGTAGGGTTGGGAGTGGGGGTGGGAGTGGGAATTAGAGTAGGAGTGATGTGAGGTGAGAGTGTTGCGGCAAAGTAAAACTTGCAACATAGATTGGCTGCAATAAATGCTCAATTAAAAAAATAATAAACAGCCTAAATAATTAAAAACTCTACCCATCTATTTCTTTCTTTCTCATTATTCTACTAATATTAGTAACCTAACCTAACACTAAAATACACCCCAATACTAAATAATACGTCGAGTTAGAGTATAGTTGACACAAAATTGACTAGCAACGGTGGTTTGTGTTGCTAGCCCTTTTGCGTTAGCTAGATAGCAGGCATTACGCACTGTCGACCAGTCGACGGCGACTCAGTCTCTCAATGACGAAAACAAGGAAACCCGAACCAGGAAACCAAGCCGAGTGACCGTATTCTAAGTACATTCGTGCGCAATGGACGTCGATAACTAACGCTACTAAAGAAAAAGAAAACCAAAAGAGTGTTGGGTATTATATTTTATATTATATGTATTACAAGAATCGAAATCAAAAGGGATGTTCAAAGTATTTTATGAAGACGTGAGACCCGTTCTCACGTCTTCATAAAATACTTACCCCTGTGACTCCCCGTGACCACTGCTGCAAAGCATCCGAAGTTAAAATAATTTCCAAATAAGTTGAACTTTAAACCGTTAAAGTGTTTTATTTACATGTGTACTACTAGCGTAAACTACAGACAGTATTTAAAAAGGGATTTTACAAAATTCTCAACAGCCAGAACGCAAGCAACATATCCTGCTAAAACCGTTGTTTTTAAATGCGGAGAGCACATTCTAACAATAAATTCAGCTGATGTCTTTGCACCGCATAATTTACCGCCCGCTTGTTTTCTATCTCATTCTAACTCGATGAGTGAACGCGAGGATGCGATCTCGCTCCCGCTTGAGGCAACGTCTGCATTCACCGGTACCGGTTCGGAGGCCCCTACCGCGGTTTCTCCGAGCCTTTTGTGTGAGAACTGACAACACTTAAGTGGGTAATTAAGGAAAGTAATGTGGGATGGAAAACAGTGCAAAAAACTGACGCAAATATAAATAAGTATATTCGTCAAAGAGGATTGATGCCGATAGTATGGTCCGTACGGGGGTGTAACGCTACTTTCGTTCTGTTGTTCTTTATCAGTCTTGTGTTTGGGGTCGGTTAAAGTAAACATAAGAATCGCTGGGGCGGTAGTCGGTGGGCTGGTCCTGCGGTGTGCCTCAGGGTTCGGTTTTGGGGCCGCTCCTTTGGAATATTAGTTATGATTGGGTTTTGCGGGGTGCCAATATTGATGATGTTGAGGTAACTTGTTATGCTGATGATACTCTTGTTACTGCTAGAGCAATATCTTTCCCGGAGGCATCGGTTTTAGCGACAGCTGGTGTGGCTGATGTTGTTGATCGTATTAGTCGCTTAGGTTTAGAGGTTACTTTGAATAAATTTGCTCATTTTAGGTGTTTAAAGGGTCCTAATTTTTTGTGTCGACAATTCTATATGGGTATTGTGCGATCCTTGGCCCTTTATGGGGCCCCAATTTGGGCAGACTCTTTGTCAAATCGAGATATTATTCTCTTGAGGAAGCCGCAGAGAACTTTAGCTATCAGAATTACTCGTTCATACCGGACAGTTTCTTTTGATGCAGCGTATCTTCTTGCTGGATCATTGCCATGGGATCTAGATGCAAGAGCTTTATCGTCATTATTTCATTGGGAAGAAGAGGTGATTAAGAATAGAGGCTTTCGTCTGGCTCTAATTGAGATGAACAGGGAAAAGGATAATTTGCGGAGAGAAGCTTTAGAAATTTGGTCTGAGAGGTTGACGAATGTTGATTTTGGATTAAGAACGGTTTCTGCGATTATGCCGGTTTTTGATGCTTGGTTGACAAGGTGCCATGGCTTTTTATCTTTTCGTTTGGTGCAGGTGATGACTGGGCATGGTTCCTTTGGTAGGTACTTGTGTCGTATTGGTAAAAGGCCTAATGCGGCATGCTACCATTGCAGTAGTAATGACGATTCTTCGGAGCATACATTGGAAGCTTGTCCTGCTTGGTCTGTTGAACGCAATGCTCTTTGTGCAGTTGTTGGCGGAGACCTCTCCTTACCGGCTGTTGTTCATGCAATGACTCAAAGTGAAAGACAATGGAAGGCGATGCTCGCTTTCTGTGATACTGAGATGTTGCAGAAAGAGAGATTTAAACGTGAGAGGACGCGTGTTTCGCAGAATTGACCTCTGATTTGTATATTTGTATATATATTTATTTTTAGTGCATGGGGAACCATGTGTTTTTATGATATGAATGAATCAATAGTGCATACTGTGGAGTGCCGTAAAAGGCAGACATATTGAGGCTACCGTGCGAGTTCTCAAGAGATCAGAAGCTTCACATTTGTGTCGGAGGTTTTTATTGTGGGGGATTAGTCGGTTTAAGTCAGACATAACCCATTTGCTCCTTCTAGTGCGGTGGGTATCCGAAAGGTTGTCCCCACGAAAAAAAAAATAGAATCGCTGGGGCGAGGGTAACATCGAGCAATTCAATCGCTGTGGGGCATTATGCAGCTCAAAGTAAAAGATAGAAATACGATAGATAATCTGCATGCTCATAATTTAGACACCGTAACAATGGTGGCAGAAAACACATATTGTTATAAAAATAGTTTGAATAAGCGTAAGAAAACTGTTGCAGGGTGGAAGAAAGCATGCCACTGCAGATAAATAAATTGTCTAGAATCTAGGCTTACTACCTTTTGTCGAGCCAATAACTGCCTTCAGTGCTTCTTCCCAAGTAACGAAACGCAACCGTTTTTAATTCTCATTTCAAGGTCATCTCCTTGTCCTTCATGACCTTGTTCCGTCGTGACCTTGCTCTCTTTACATTAAAGAAAATCCCTTTTAAACACAACACAACAATGTTTTAATGATTCTTGACCTCAATACTGTTTTTATTTGTATTTCCTTTAGTTTTCGTGTTTAAAGCTTCTTATAACTGGATTGTTTATTAATTTAAGCCATTAAGTTTTGTAAATATTATACAAGCTTTTATATTTTTCACATGACGGCACTATAATTTGAAAATTGATTATAAATTGAAAAAAACTACGACTCGGGCAGGACAAGAACCGGCACCCACAGCGTTCCGTGATGTTGCTCTACCCGACTTCTACACGACATCGTCTATTTTATTTTAACCTATTGATACATGCACCTCTCGCGCAATGTAATTTGAACCCGTGCGTGCGCATTAAGGTTCTACGTTAAGTACTGTCTATAGTGCATGTTTTAAATGTTAAAAGAAACGCTATTTCTGTGGACTGTCCACTTTTGCCCAACGAGTTGCCTCAAAAAATATTGAATCAAAATTATATACAATTTAACAGAACTTAACTTGCGCTACTGCGCCTTGGCATTTACTGTACCTTGGAACAAAAGATCTTACTAGGTCGACTTTGGGTCTGAGCTTTTCACGCTAGACATCGGCTCTCTTTATTCCGCTGCACGAAATATAGCGGATCCATATTCCATACAAACGTATTTTTAAGAGTAAAAACAGAAAAGCCTGCTTGTTAGTGAGCGTGAGCGTTTACTTCATTTTTTCTTTGTCTTTATCTATACAATATGTCCGGCACGAACAATTCTTTGTCTTTATGCTAATTATAATTTATACAATATGTCCGGCCACGAACAAGCGACATTATTAATGATGCACTAATAGGGCATAGATTTCGTTCAACCCACCTCTACGCTAACCGCCCCTGTAGTCGTGTTGCCTGTCCTGGGTCCGCTTTTCGAAGGGGAGACAATACATTGTTTCGGCAGGGCAGGGCACAAAAATCTGATGTCAAGTACATCTTGTGTAAGAAACAAAAATGTGTTCGCCCCCGTCCTCTTTGGGATAAAATTAAAAAATATATGCCTCTATAATATTTTTTTTATATTGGTCTTACATTAAAAATACGATTATTCGATTCTCAATAATATTGTCAGTCAAGTTCATTGTGAAAGAATTTTTTACCGTTTATTAGTGATCGATGGTTACCAGGAACAAACTCAACAAAGACAAATTAAACTACCAAATTAAAGCAAATTCTTTTAACTGTATTATTTTTACTGGGTGTCTATTACTTTGAGAGTTATTGACATTGAAAAGTGGCATAAGCGCAAGCACGAAAGATCTTGAAAGATTTGTCTTTTATTGAAATCTTCATATCTTAATTATAAGGCTTTGCCAATAAACCAAACCGAGTCGTTAGATGTTGGGAGTAGATTGCCCTTGGATGTTATGTCAATGTGTAACATTCGAACACGTAAGACCTATCTATATAAAACACGTAGTACACATTTTTTTATAATAAATTATCTTTTATTAAACAAATTGAAGTATTGCAAAGATCTAATCAACAAACAAGAGTTATTTTACAATCCACAAAAGCTTTTAATGATGTAAATAGAAATAAAGTAAATTCAAATATACATACTAGTGCAGTGTCACCTTTATTTACAAAAATTCATATCGATACTGTTAAATCGAAAATGTATCATTGTTTTCGTTTCCAGGTATCGCTGCTAATTGTAGTCGTCTATTTGATGGGGTCCAGTGCAGACCAGCTGCTGAAGCGGGCACCAACATCACTCTGAGTTGTCCCAGCTATGTCTTATCCTTTGATCCAACCAGAACCACTCAAATCGCGTAAGTAATTAGAGAGCTTCCTCCTCTAGTAGATTAAAAATGTCTATACATTTTTAATTAGTTACGACGCTCGACCTGCTTCGGGTGGCCCATGTAGATACATCATAAATGAGTAATAGGTTTATAGAGAATTTTACTAAAAGGTGACCGTATTTTGATTTTTCTTAACTATTATAATATCTTAACGACGAACGGACGAAGCTTAAGGAATAGTAATATAAATAATTTCATGGAAGACATCTTCATAATCTTTGAATAGTAGGTATATCTAATTACATCGACACACACAACACAATACAATGACGATTTCGTGTCCATGCCGGACACGTAAGCGTCAAACGATTTTCTCAGAAGACCTTTTCCGGAAACCGAAGGCTTTATCCTTGCTATACAAATTATAGAAACAAGAAATCATCAAAAACATATTATAACAACACGACCCAGTTAATCAGATGACTCATTAAGAAAATATAAATTCACCGAATACCAAATAGTTTAGTCGTAAACCCTATTACAAATATTCTCTGCAATCAGTTTTAGAGACAAAAGAGAACCACTCTCGCCGATAAAACGATTCTAGTTAGGTAGCAAACACACAACATATCGGCCAAATACATAGGGAAACTAAATGGAAAGTGAATAAATAAAAACTATCCCTATAATTTCTTCCACAGGGGTAAAACCTCAAACATTACACGCAAGATTCATAAAAATCATTTTAATAGACAGTATTTATTTTTGATAATCAAATTGACACTACAGCCAATCAGACTTCCAGAAGGTTATCTTGAGACACTCTTGAGACTTTCTTGTTGTCTACTGAGATCAGATCAGATCAATATTTAAGTGCTTGCATATCAGGAACCCACTATACGCTTGCTATATTAACCGGTGAGAATATATTTAAACAAAAACGCCATTATTTCTTCCTAAGATTTATAAACTGGTTACAAGGTTACAATATTTCTTTCACGATGAAAACTTCACACTGTCACCTCTTCTTATACCCATCCTTTTAATAGCTATACTTCTTTGAATAAACCTACTCAATAGAATAGATAAATATAAATCTAGGGCTCACTTCTAAGTTCTTGTTAACTAAACGCTTATTTAGTTACTGACGACCAAAAATCGTTATATCTAATGCTATCTGAGCTATATAGATAAAAACTATATCCTACACAGCTGAAATGATTCATAGAGGTCATTAGGTGAATACAAAGGCTGCATTATAATATTTATAAATACATTTCATGTTATCATAAATAAAATTGTATGACCACTAGACTCGGTTCCCGTTAAGATCTCACTTATTTATTTTTCGATATGATAATGTTTTACTTTATTAATTAACTGTCAGTCTGCCCCGGATTTGCACGGGTATTAAAAATCAACCAAATACTGTCTGTAGTTTACGTGAGTAGTACACATTAAAAAAAAAACGAAAATATATCGCGTTAAAACCGTTAAAGTGTTTTATTTAAAATTAGCCATGTTAGACTAGCTGTGTTTGAGTTTTAGCTATACAAACAAACAGCAAGTAATTTTTTTACATAGTGATTTTACTTAACTTTTTTTAATCTATTATAGTTGCACGGACAGCGGAATCTGGGCAGACGGCGGTGAATCACCAGATTACAGCAAGTGCTATGACGACAATTCAAAATTGACAGTAAGTGTCTTACAAATACAAAGTCTGTATTGTTAGAAAAAATATTATCAATTACATTGGGCGATTCGGTGCTCCCTGCTGCTCCCACACTAGGACTTTCTGTGTCGTGGGCGTCTAGTCTCTTTCGGTGCATCAAGAATAAAAGTAATTACCTACTAAATGAACGTACTAAATAAAGGGTAGATATCCCTATCTACGAATTTGCATTATTTTAACAAAGTGCATTCCGAAACACCCACTCAGATGAATGGCTCTGTTGGGTTTTTTTAACTTTTACTCTCCTTTTATTAAGATGTTTGTATAATTGAAAAACCAAAAATACATTGAAAAAAATTTTCGACTCGGGCAGGACTTGAACCGGCATCGTCAGCGTTCCGTGCTGTTGCTCTACCCATTGAGCTACCGAGTCAGTTTATTTTCGATTTTTAAATTATATAGTGCCTTCATGTGCAATAACATGTAAAAATTAATAAAGTTTTCAAAGATGTTTGTATTATAAACCTCACATTTCTTGTGTAGTTATTTGTATTTACTAGTTCGTGTGAATCCGGCCCTATTGAATCGTAGCTGTACCGTGTAACATAGATGGATCTTGGCTCTTTGTTGCCGTTTGGGCCGATTCCCTGATACGTCATATTTATGTCACTGTTTTTTTTTTCACTAGCTTTTGTTCTATTTAAATTTTAAAGTATTTATTCAGGAACCATATTTACATTAAACTGTTTTTGATCTGGAAACCCTTTTAAGTAAATAATACCTGTGCCAGGGTTGGGTTATTGAAAAGTTAGGTTTTGTTAATTTTTCACTTTTCCCCATCTAATAACGTAAATTATATTTTTAGCTTATTGATTAGTAGCTGTGCCCGCGACTTCGTTCGCGTGGAATAGTGACTTGGGGTAGAATTTTTAATTATTTAGGCTGTTTATTAATTTATGTAAGGGCGCTTATTAATTTATCGCAGCCAATTTATGTTGTAAGTGCTGCTTTGCCGCAACACACTCACCTCACACCTACTCTTACTCCCAGTCCTACTCTCAAATAGCCAAAGAAGAAAGTTTCAATGTTCTATCTTCAAAAACCACGAATTTCCATACAAACTTTCCACCCTCCCCCCCCTCGCCCCTTTTTAACCCCTTACAACCCCCTTTTCGTTTTCTTTCTCAGAGTCTAGACCATATATGTACCAAATTTCATTCAAATCCGTTCAGTAGTTTTGGCGTGAAAGAGTAACAGACAGACAGACAGAGTTACTTTCGCATTTATAATATTAGATTATAGACACGTAGCGTCGCAAACTTTTTTGTAAATAATTTAAAGAGGAATCATTCTTTCGTACATATTTTTCGGATATATTAAGCCGTTTTTGCAGCTAATTTTTCGATTTTTCTCACATTTCTCGCTGTGTCTTCGCTTGTATTAGTCACTGAGCAATGTTTTATAGCCTTATAGGCTTCCTCGATAAATGCTCTAGCAAATACAGATATAGATAAAGATAGATAGATTTAAATTACAACGCCGCCTCATATCGTAGAAATCGTCACTTACCCTTTTTGTTTGTTCTCAAAACCTTGACCATTTCTTGATTGCTTTAAAGAGGGCCTTTTACTTAGACGACTAGTAATAAGAATTAGTAGAGCGCGGGCTTTACCTTCTTCTTTAGCGGACTATAGGACTAAATGGAGAAATGGTTTGCAGAACTTGACGACGGCGGGATGGATAAATATTGCCGGTCACGGTGTTTACACTATCTTTACGCTGATCACCTTGTTGACTATCTTTTGCAATTGGTAAGTCACTGAGTCGTTCTACGTACACTGTGAATTCCAAGAACACCCACAACTTAATGTAATACTGTAAAGTTATTTAATAAGATAGATTTCATGTTTTCGTCTCCCTTTCAACTCAATTTCGTTTGGTATTAGGTTCGCCTTTAACACTATAAATATTTTACCGAGAATATTTTACCGTTTCACTATTGTTGTCTCTGGGGTCAGTTCTACTTTTGTTACTTACTTTTTAAGTTACTTTAATACACCACTAGCTGTGTCAGCGGCTTCGTCCGCGTAGAATAGGTATTATCTTGAACCGTTTTGTACGGATTGAAAACCCTGTAAGGTGAATAATTTTTCCCGTTTATTACACATTTTCCGCTGTTTCTTACCTTAAGTCACACCGTGATGTGTTAGCCTTCCTCGACGCCTAACATAAAAAGATTTTTTCTAACCAGTATTTTCTGAGATTAGCGCGTTCAAACATACAAACGAACAAACACACTCTTCAGCTTTATATATTTAAAATGAGCTGTATAGATTTTTAAAATGAACCAGGTAACTCCGACCATATGCCGAATTGGAATTTTTGAAAAAACTTGAATTTTCAGAAAAAAAAATCCTTTGGAGAACATACACATCGATATGAGTTACCATTCGGCTATAGACCGAGGGGGCCCGCAATTCACTTAAGTCTACTAGGATTCAAGAAATGTGCGGCTGCATGACGATTATCAAATATATATAATTCAAATATTTTGAAATGATAATACTAGATGCAACGGATATCCGGTTACTATTCGGTATCCGGCCTATCCGACCGAATACCGGATAGTTGCGCACTATCCGGCCGGATACCGATAGTGATTCTGTTTGCTATTTAACTTTGAAAAATGGTTATTTTGTATGTATACTACAAAAATTGATAATTTGTTGTTTTTTTCTTGTAAGAAGAAAACAACAAATTACCACTATTCGTTTGTCACGTACAATTTAAACTTATCAAGAAACCTCATTTGAAGTATTTAAGAAATCCTATGATCAGCATTAGGTCTCCATTCAACCAATCGTAGGGTATTAGGCGCAAAGATTGAACTGTAAAACTTACAGGTAGCAGTGCTTAATTCGTTTTGATATGTTTTCTTGCCAGTTCTCAGAGTGCTTAAGAGGCTTTTTACCTCCACCTTGCTCAAAGGCACAACGCCGGAGGCATGGAGCAGAAGCGTAGTGGTCCTGTTCTTCAAAAAAGGTGACAAATCCCTCCTGAAGAACTACAGACCGATCTCGCTTCTGAGCCATGTCTACAAGCTGTTCTCTAGGGTCATCACGAATCGTCTCGAACGTAGGCTCGATGAATTCCAGCCACCCGAACAAGCCGGTTTCCGAAAAGGCTACAGCACCATAGACCACATACACACGGTGCAAGAGTATAACCTGCCATTATGCTTAGCGTTTGTGGACTATGAGAAGGCCTTTGATTCGATCGAGACCTGGGCCGTGTTTAAATCTCTCCAGAGGTGTCGCATCGATTATCGATACGTCGAGGTGTTGAGGTGCTTGTATAAGAACGCCAATATGTCAGTCCGAGTACAAGATCGGTGTACGAAGGCCATCCCAGTGCAACGCGGTGTTCGGCAAGGTGATGTTGTCTCACCAAAACTTTTTACAGCTGCTCTGGAAGACGCTTTCAAGCTCCTAGAATGGAAAGGACTGGGCATCAACATTAACGGCGAGTACCTCACCCATTTGCGTTTTGCCGACGATATTGTGATCATGGCACAGTCTTTGGAGGATCTAAACACAATGCTCGAAGACCTCAACAGTGTTTCCAAGCAGGTCTTGTCCATGTTCATACTCAGGCCGAGTATGAACATGGACAAGACAAAAATAATGTCGAACGCCCATGTAGTGCCTACCTCTGTATCTATTGGAAGCACTGTACTCGAAGTTGTTGACGAATACGTCTACCTGGGTGAAGTAATACAATTAGGTCACACACATGCGCAAATACAATATGTCTGTTTTGACGCCATGTCAGAATTAACCAAATCATTCATGTATCGGGGTCAGGCTGTAGTTACTAAGTGCCTACGATTTCCCTTTGAAAAAAAAGTGACATAAATCTTATTGTAAAAATCATAAAACCTTGAAAAATAGTTACACAAATTATTAGAAAATACGGTAAACCAGGATCGCCAACATGTGTGTGTATGTGTATCCTGTTGTTTTGGATGCATTGGACTGCGATCGGTTACGTTTTTATTATATGTATAGATGTCATCCAGGCCAATATACGAGTAATACGAATAGTCTTTTTAATTCCCTTCTTTAAAAATCAAGCAAAAATAGAAAAAAGGCGAGAACAGAAATGTAGCGTTGGAGGATCTAATGTCGCGATCCGACCGTACATAGTCACAAAATGTAAGGGCTACAAATCATTAGCGAATAGCATGGAACAGATTATTTTGTATATAATATTATAATTAAGCTTAGTATAAATCATTATTTTTGTAATATATAAATGTGGGTCTAACACTTGGTCGGTTGTTTGTGGATTGTTATAAAAGGGGGTGCGCTGTAGAGTGGGTAGGGCAGTTGCTTTTGAGAAAACGTACGTTGAACATTGGTTACAACGTTGGTGACATCAGAATTGTCTATTGCTTAACGTATTTTGAAACGTAGACGTTGGTTGTTTGGACGTTGTTGTAATAAATAGGTTATGATATAATATATACTTCTTATTATATTGAATTGGGATCAATATATGTCAATTAAGTATCGTAACCCTGTGTAATATATATATATAAATATGACACTATATCTTCTTGTTATTTACATAAAATCCTTAAAATCTAATATTAGTATTTAAAGTCTAAGTCCAATATCTATAATGACTATAACTATACAATAATGTCTTTAATAATAAAAAATTAACACATGCATCGTTTTACGTCATTACATCTGCGAACACAGCACGCACGAGAATCTACGCAAAATTAAACAAATAAAGCACATATGAACTACAGACACACACGACTACTACAGGTTCTAATTGAAAAAAATCTGGTTAGAGCATTTATTGAGGAAGGCTAGAAGGGCTATACTATACATAGCGCTGCGACCAATAGGAGCGAAAAAACACAGTGAAATGTGGCAAAAATCATTTGTCTGTTGCATGCTCTGCGAAAACGATTCTAGATACCCACAATATATGAAAGAATTATTCTTTTTTAATCTAATCTAAAAAATGTCCGCAAAATTAACTCACAAGAAGTTGAAATACTTCCTATAATGGTAAAACAACATTTGCCAGGTCAGCTAGTATGATTATATATTTAAATTTTTGCTCTTTGTTTTAGCATGGGGATTACGTCGTCAAATAAACGCTTCGACCTCGACGCATATCACGAAGAGATGAAAGAGTGCCCACGACCAGGAAGAACAATCTACTCACTGAATGGTAAGTACCTATAGCAATAAGTTTGTCTAACACAGTGAAATACTGCTCACCTGGGGCATGGGCATAGATGTGATACATCTAATTCATTTGTACTTAAAATACGTGATAAAGATGCATCTTGTATCTTACGATTTTACAAACATTTTTAATGTACAAGTAACAATTTAAGCGTACAATTGAACATGGCATTATTAGTCTGTACAACGCAATTTATGTTAGAATAACATCAAACAAATCCAATAAAAATAGATATTTTTATTATTAAATGCGTAACCAATATTTCTGACTACATTTATACGTTGTAGACCTTGGGCAGTGTTCATCCTTTTAAAATTTCACATTTATCTCTTAACCTAACCTATCGCATTTTGTTGGGCTTCAAAAGATACAGAAATGTTTAAATACACTGCTAGTTTGGCACTGCAACACATATGCACGCCAAGAAACAGAGAGCAACTTGGTTTTACCAGCGAGGAGAATAAGTTGTCTTTGAGGGCTTTTGTGGCGTGCGCTGCGAAAACGGTTAGAGAAAAATATGTGTTCAATGATCTAGAAAATGTCCGCGCCAGTATTTATCTAATTTATCTACAACGTTAATAACAAAAGGTAGCAATTACCTTCCTTACTAATCCTTACTAAATATTATAAATGCGAAAGTAACTCTGTCTGTCTGTCTGTCTGTTACTCTTTCACGCCAAAACTACTGAACGGATTTGAATGAAATTTGGTACACATATGGTCTAGACCACGAGAAAGAACATAGGCTATTGCGAACTACTTTTTATTGCGAAAAAGGGGGTTGTAAGGGGTTAAAAGGGGGGGTGAAATTTTGTATGGAAATTCGTGGTTTTTGATGCTAGAACAATGAAACTTTCTTCTTTGGCTATTTGAGAATAGGAGTAGGGTTGGGAGTGGGGGTGGGAGTGGGAATTAGAGTAGGAGTGATGTGAGGTGAGAGTGTTGCGGCAAAGTAAAACTTGCAACATAGATTGGCTGCAATAAATGCTCAATTAAAAAAATAATAAACAGCCTAAATAATTAAAAACTCTACCCATCTATTTCTTTCTTTCTCATTATTCTACTAATATTAGTAACCTAACCTAACACTAAAATACACCCCAATACTAAATAATACGTCGAGTTAGAGTATAGTTGACACAAAATTGACTAGCAACGGTGGTTTGTGTTGCTAGCCCTTTTGCGTTAGCTAGATAGCAGGCATTACGCACTGTCGACCAGTCGACGGCGACTCAGTCTCTCAATGACGAAAACAAGGAAACCCGAACCAGGAAACCAAGCCGAGTGACCGTATTCTAAGTACATTCGTGCGCAATGGACGTCGATAACTAACGCTACTAAAGAAAAAGAAAACCAAAAGAGTGTTGGGTATTATATTTTATATTATATGTATTACAAGAATCGAAATCAAAAGGGATGTTCAAAGTATTTTATGAAGACGTGAGACCCGTTCTCACGTCTTCATAAAATACTTACCCCTGTGACTCCCCGTGACCACTGCTGCAAAGCATCCGAAGTTAAAATAATTTCCAAATAAGTTGAACTTTAAACCGTTAAAGTGTTTTATTTACATGTGTACTACTAGCGTAAACTACAGACAGTATTTAAAAAGGGATTTTACAAAATTCTCAACAGCCAGAACGCAAGCAACATATCCTGCTAAAACCGTTGTTTTTAAATGCGGAGAGCACATTCTAACAATAAATTCAGCTGATGTCTTTGCACCGCATAATTTACCGCCCGCTTGTTTTCTATCTCATTCTAACTCGATGAGTGAACGCGAGGATGCGATCTCGCTCCCGCTTGAGGCAACGTCTGCATTCACCGGTACCGGTTCGGAGGCCCCTACCGCGGTTTCTCCGAGCCTTTTGTGTGAGAACTGACAACACTTAAGTGGGTAATTAAGGAAAGTAATGTGGGATGGAAAACAGTGCAAAAAACTGACGCAAATATAAATAAGTATATTCGTCAAAGAGGATTGATGCCGATAGTATGGTCCGTACGGGGGTGTAACGCTACTTTCGTTCTGTTGTTCTTTATCAGTCTTGTGTTTGGGGTCGGTTAAAGTAAACATAAGAATCGCTGGGGCGGTAGTCGGTGGGCTGGTCCTGCGGTGTGCCTCAGGGTTCGGTTTTGGGGCCGCTCCTTTGGAATATTAGTTATGATTGGGTTTTGCGGGGTGCCAATATTGATGATGTTGAGGTAACTTGTTATGCTGATGATACTCTTGTTACTGCTAGAGCAAGATCTTTCCCGGGGGCATCGGTTTTAGCGACAGCTGGTGTGGCTGATGTTGTTGATCGTATTAGTCGCTTAGGGTTAGAGGTTGCTTTGAATAAATCAGAAGTTATTTGCTTTCATGGGCCTCGTAAAGCACCTCCAGTTGGCTCTGTTATTATTGTAGGAGGTGTTTCGATAGCCTTCCAGTCAACAATAAAGTATCTTGGCCTTGTTACTAAAGCTACTGCGGACATCTGGTGCTTTAGGTAGGCTACTTCCCAATTTAAAGGGCGTCGGCAATTGTGTATGGGTATTGTGCGATCTATGGCCCTTTATGGGGCCCCAATTTGGGCAGACTCTTTGTCAAATCGAGATATTATTCTCTTGAGGAAGCCGCAGAGAACTTTAGCTATCAGAATTACTCGTTCATACCGGACAGTTTCTTTTGATGCAGCGTATCTTCTTGCTGGATCATTGCCATGGGATCTAGATGCAAGAGCTTTATCGTCATTATTTCATTGGGAAGAAGAGGTGATTAAGAATAGAGGCTTTCGTCTGGCTCTAATTGAGATGAACAGGGAAAAGGATAATTTGCGGAGAGAAGCTTTAGAAATTTGGTCTGAGAGGTTGACGAATGTTGATTTTGGATTAAGAACGGTTTCTGCGATTATGCCGGTTTTTGATGCTTGGTTGACAAGGTGCCATGGCTTTTTATCTTTTCGTTTGGTGCAGGTGATGACTGGGCATGGTTCCTTTGGTAGGTACTTGTGTCGTATTGGTAAAAGGCCTAATGCGGCATGCTACCATTGCAGTAGTAATGACGATTCTTCGGAGCATACATTGGAAGCTTGTCCTGCTTGGTCTGTTGAACGCAATGCTCTTTGTGCAGTTGTTGGCGGAGACCTCTCCTTACCGGCTGTTGTTCATGCAATGACTCAAAGTGAAAGACAATGGAAGGCGATGCTCGCTTTCTGTGATACTGAGATGTTGCAGAAAGAGAGATTTAAACGTGAGAGGACGCGTGTTTCGCAGAATTGACCTCTGATTTGTATATTTGTATATATATTTATTTTTAGTGCATGGGGAACCATGTGTTTTTATGATATGAATGAATCAATAGTGCATACTGTGGAGTGCCGTAAAAGGCAGACATATTGAGGCTACCGTGCGAGTTCTCAAGAGATCAGAAGCTTCACATTTGTGTCGGAGGTTTTTATTGTGGGGGATTAGTCGGTTTAAGTCAGACATAACCCATTTGCTCCTTCTAGTGCGGTGGGTATCCGAAAGGTTGTCCCCACGAAAAAAAAAATAGAATCGCTGGGGCGAGGGTAACATCGAGCAATTCAATCGCTGTGGGGCATTATGCAGCTCAAAGTAAAAGATAGAAATACGATAGATAATCTGCATGCTCATAATTTAGACACCGTAACAATGGTGGCAGAAAACACATATTGTTATAAAAATAGTTTGAATAAGCGTAAGAAAACTGTTGCAGGGTGGAAGAAAGCATGCCACTGCAGATAAATAAATTGTCTAGAATCTAGGCTTACTACCTTTTGTCGAGCCAATAACTGCCTTCAGTGCTTCTTCCCAAGTAACGAAACGCAACCGTTTTTAATTCTCATTTCAAGGTCATCTCCTTGTCCTTCATGACCTTGTTCCGTCGTGACCTTGCTCTCTTTACATTAAAGAAAATCCCTTTTAAACACAACACAACAATGTTTTAATGATTCTTGACCTCAATACTGTTTTTATTTGTATTTCCTTTAGTTTTCGTGTTTAAAGCTTCTTATAACTGGATTGTTTATTAATTTAAGCCATTAAGTTTTGTAAATATTATACAAGCTTTTATATTTTTCACATGATGGCACTATAATTTGAAAATTGATTATAAATTGAAAAAAACTACGACTCGGGCAGGACAAGAACCGGCACCCACAGCGTTCCGTGATGTTGCTCTACCCGACTTCTACACGACATCGTCTATTTTATTTTAACCTATTGATACATGCACCTCTCGCGCAATGTAATTTGAACCCGTGCGTGCGCATTAAGGTTCTACGTTAAGTACTGTCTATAGTGCATGTTTTAAATGTTAAAAGAAACGCTATTTCTGTGGACTGTCCACTTTTGCCCAACGAGTTGCCTCAAAAAATATTGAATCAAAATTATATACAATTTAACAGAACTTAACTTGCGCTACTGCGCCTTGGCATTTACTGTACCTTGGAACAAAAGATCTTACTAGGTCGACTTTGGGTCTGAGCTTTTCACGCTAGACATCGGCTCTCTTTATTCCGCTGCACGAAATATAGCGGATCCATATTCCATACAAACGTATTTTTAAGAGTAAAAACAGAAAAGCCTGCTTGTTAGTGAGCGTGAGCGTTTACTTCATTTTTTCTTTGTCTTTATGCTAATTATTTATTTTTTTTTTTTATTTATTTTGTACACCAACACTAATATATAATACAATTTAAAAAACATTTTTTTTTTTAAACCGTTATAACGGTTTCTTATCTTCTGCTCGGGTCATATATACTCCAATATTAACTTATTTTAACTAAAATTAACTTAAAAATTAACAATACAAAAAAGGCAAACAATATAACATTATTAACTAAATATAAACCTAAATATAAAACTAAATATAAAACTAAATATAAAACTAAATATAAAACTAAATATAAAACTAAATATAAAACTAGATATAAAACGGCTTAAGAATTGCCTTGCTTCTTCCCGGATCTTTTACTAGTTTATTGTGCGTGTGTTCATCTAACTCGTTCAGAAGCAAGGGCAATAAATAAGTGCGTGTGCGCTTTCCGTAAGCATTGTTAAAAGGGGGCAGAACATATCTAGGCAAATAATCGAGGGGTCTTAAATTATCAGGTCTTTTCTTAACTTCTAATTCCTGGATATACCCTATTTCTTCGCATAAATAAAAAAATTTAAATTTAAATTTTTACAATATGTCCGGCCACGAACAAGCGACATTATTAATGATGCACTAATAGGGCATAGATTTCGTTCAACCCACCTCTACGCTAACCGCCCCTGTAGTCGTGTTGCCTGTCCTGGGTCCGCTTTTCGAAGGGGAGACAATACATTGTTTCGGCAGGGCAGGGCACAAAAATCTGATGTCAAGTACATCTTGTGTAAGAAACAAAAATGTGTTCGCCCCCGTCCTCTTTGGGATAAAATTAAAAAATATATGCCTCTATAATATTTTTTTATATATTGGTCTTACATTAAAAATACGATTATTCGATTCTCAATAATATTGTCAGTCAAGTTCATTGTGAAAGAATTTTTTACCGTTTATTAGTGATCGATGGTTACCAGGAACAAACTCAACAAAGACAAATTAAACTACCAAATTAAAGCAAATTCTTTTAACTGTATTATTTTTACTGGGTGTCTATTACTTTGAGAGTTATTGACATTGAAAAGTGGCATAAGCGCAAGCACGAAAGATCTTGAAAGATTTGTCTTTTATTTAAATCTTCATATCTTAATTATAAGGCTTTGCCAATAAACCAAACCGAGTCGTTAGATGTTGGGAGTAGATTGCCCTTGGATGTTATGTCAATGTGTAACATTCGAACACGTAAGACCTATCTATATAAAACACGTAGTACACATTTTTTTATAATAAATTATCTTTTATTAAACAAATTGAAGTATTGCAAAGATCTAATCAACAAACAAGAGTTATTTTACAATCCACAAAAGCTTTTAATGATGTAAATAGAAATAAAGTAAATTCAAATATACATACTAGTGCAGTGTCACCTTTATTTACAAAAATTCATATCGATACTGTTAAATCGAAAATGTATCATTGTTTTCGTTTCCAGGTATCGCTGCTAATTGTAGTCGTCTATTTGATGGGGTCCAGTGCAGACCAGCTGCTGAAGCGGGCACCAACATCACTCTGAGTTGTCCCAGCTATGTCTTATCCTTTGATCCAACCAGAACCACTCAAATCGCGTAAGTAATTAGAGAGCTTCCTCCTCTAGTAGATTAAAAATGTCTATACATTTTTAATTAGTTACGACGCTCGACCTGCTTCGGGTGGCCCATGTAGATACATCATAAATGAGTAATAGGTTTATAGAGAATTTTACTAAAAGGTGACCGTATTTTGATTTTTCTTAACTATTATAATATCTTAACGACGAACGGACGAAGCTTAGGGAATAGTTACATAAATCATTTCATGGAAGACATCTTCATAATCTTTGAATAGTAGGTATATCTAATTACATCGACACACACAACACAATACAATGACGATTTCGTGTCCATGCCGGACACGTAAGCGTCAAACGATTTTCTCAGAAGACCTTTTCCGGAAACCGAAGGCTTTATCCTTGCTATACAAATTATAGAAACAAGAAATCATCAAAAACATTATAACAACACGACCCAGTTAATCAGATGACTCATTAAGAAAATATAAATTCACCGAATACCAAATAGTTTAGTCGTAAACCCTATTACAAATATTCATCGCAATCAGTTTTAGAGACAAAAGAGAACCACTCTCGCCGATAAAACGATTCTAGTTAGGTAGCAAACACACAACATATCGGCCACATACATAGGGAAACTAAATGGAAAGTGAATAAATAAAAACTATCCCTATAATTTCTTCCACAGGGGTAAAACCTCAAACATTACACGCAAGATTCATAAAAATCATTTTAATAGACAGTATTTATTTTTGATAATCAAATTGACACTACAGCCAATCAGACTTCCAGAAGGTTATCTTGAGACACTCTTGAGACTTTCTTGTTGTCTACTGAGATCAGATCAGAGCAATATTGAAGTGTTTGCATATCAGGAACCCACTATACGCTTGCTATATTAACCGGTGAGAATATATTTAAACAAAAACGCCATTATTTCTTTCTAAGATTTATAAACTGGTTACAAGGTTACAGTATTTCTTTCGCGATGAAAACTTCACACTGTCACCTCTTCTTATACCCATCCTTTTAATAGCTATACTTCTTTGAATAAACTTACTCAATAGAATAGATAAATATAAATGTAGGGCTCACTTCTAAGTTCTTGTTAACTAAATGCTTATTTAGTTACTGAGTTATAGACAGTTATTATAAATAAAATTGTATGACCACTAGACTCGGTTCCCGTTAAGATCTCACTTATTTATTTTTCGATATGATTATGTTCTACTTTAGTAATTAACTGTCAGTCTGCCCCGGCTTTGCACGGGTTATAAAAATCAACCAAATACTGTCTGTAGTTTACGTGAGTAGTACACATTAAAAAAAACTAAAATATATCGCGTTAAAACCGTTAAGGTGTTTTATTTAAAATTAGCCACGTTAGACTAGCTGTGTTTAAGTTTTAGCTATACAAACAAACAGCAAGTAATTTTTTTACATAGTGATTTTACTTAACTTTTTTTAATCTATTATAGTTGCACGGACAGCGGAATCTGGGCAGACGGCGGTGAATCACCAGATTACAGGAAGTGCTATGACGACAATTCTTCAAAATTGACAGTAAGTGTCTTACAAATACAAAGTCTGTATTGTTAGAAAAAATATTATCAATTACATTGGGCGATTCGGTGCTCCCTGCTGCTCCCACACTAGGACTTTCTGTGTCGTGGGCGTCTAGTCTCTTTCGGTGCATCAAGAATAAAAGTAATTGCCTAAAATTACCTACTAAATGAACGTACTAAATAAAGGATAGAAAAAATTATACATAACAATAACTCATAACTCTATTTAACTAATATCCCTATCTACGAATTTGCATTATTTTAACAAAGTGCATTCCGAAACACCCACTCAGATGAATGGCTCTGTTGGGTTTTTTTTTAACTTTTACTCTCCTTTTATTAAGATGTTTCTATAATTTAAAAATCAAAAATACATTGAAAAAAATTTTCGACTCGGGCAGGACTTGAACCGGCATCGTCAGCGTTCCGTGCTGTTGCTCTACCCATTGAGCTACCGAGTCAGTTTATTTTCGATTTTTAAATTATATAGTGCCTTCATGTGCAATAACATGTAAAAAATAATAAAGTTTTCAAAGATGTTTGTATTATAAACCTCACATTTCTTGTGTAGTTATTTGTATTTACTACTTCGTGTGAATCCGGCCCTATTGAATCGTAGCTGTACCGTGTAACATAGATGGATCTTGGCTCTTTGTTGCCGTTTGGGCCGATTCCCTGATACGTCATATTTATGTCACTGTTTTTTTTTTCACTAGCTTTTGTTCTATTTAAATTTTAAAGTATTTATTCAGGAACCATATTTACATTAAACTGTTTTTGATCTGGAAACCCTTTTAAGTAAATAATACCTGTGCCAGGGTTGGGTTATTGAAAAGTTAGGTTTTGTTAATTTTTCACTTTTACCCATCTAATAAGGTAAATTATATTTTTAGCTTATTGATTACTAGCTGTGCCCGCGACTTCGTTCGCGTGGAATAGTGACTTGCGATAGAATTTTTAATTATTTAGGCTGTTTATTAATTTATGTAAGGGCGCTTATTAATTTATCGCAGCCAATTTATGTTGTAAGTGCTGCTTTGCCGCAACACACTCACCTCACACCTACTCTTACTCCCAGTCCTACTCTCAAATAGCCAAAGAAGAAAGTTTCAATGTTCTATCTTCAAAAACCACGAATTTCCATACAAACTTTCCACCCTCCCCCCCCTCGCCCCTTTTTAACCCCTTACAACCCCCTTTTCGTTTTCTTTCTCAGAGTCTAGACCATATATGTACCAAATTTCATTCAAATCCGTTCAGTAGTTTTGGCGTGAAAGAGTAACAGACAGACAGACAGAGTTACTTTCGCATTTATAATATTAGATTATAGACACGTAGCGTCGCAAACTTTTTTGTAAATAATTTAAAGAGGAATCATTCTTTCGTACATATTTTTCGGATATATTAAGCCGTTTTTGCAGCTAATTTTTCGATTTTTCTCACATTTCTCGCTGTGTCTTCGCTTGTATTAGTCACTGAGCAATGTTTTATAGCCTTATAGGCTTCCTCGATAAATGCTCTAGCAAATACAGATATAGATAAAGATAGATAGATTTAAATTACAACGCCGCCTCATATCGTAGAAATCGTCACTTACCCTTTTTGTTTGTTCTCAAAACCTTGACCATTTCTTGATTGCTTTAAAGAGGGCCTTTTACTTAGACGACTAGTAATAAGAATTAGTAGAGCGCGGGCTTTACCTTCTTCTTTAGCGGACTATAGGACTAAATGGAGAAATGGTTTGCAGAACTTGACGACGGCGGGATGGATAAATATTGCCGGTCACGGTGTTTACACTATCTTTACGCTGATCACCTTGTTGACTATCTTTTGCAATTGGTAAGTCACTGAGTCGTTCTACGTACACTGTGAATTCCAAGAACACCCACAACTTAATGTAATACTGTAAAGTTATTTAATAAGATAGATTTCATGTTTTCGTCTCCCTTTCAACTCAATTTCGTTTGGTATTAGGTTCGCCTTTAACACTATAAATATTTTACCGAGAATATTTTACCGTTTCACTATTGTTGTCTCTGGGGTCAGTTCTACTTTTGTTACTTACTTTTTAAGTTACTTTAATACACCACTAGCTGTGTCAGCGGCTTCGTCCGCGTAGAATAGGTATTATCTTGAACCGTTTTGTACGGATTGAAAACCCTGTAAGGTGAATAATTTTTCCCGTTTATTACACATTTTCCGCTGTTTCTTACCTTAAGTCACACCGTGATGTGTTAGCCTTCCTCGACGCCTAACATAAAAAGATTTTTTCTAACCAGTATTTTCTGAGATTAGCGCGTTCAAACATACAAACGAACAAACACACTCTTCAGCTTTATATATTTAAAATGAGCTGTATAGATTTTTAAAATGAACCAGGTAACTCCGACCATATGCCGAATTGGAATTTTTGAAAAAACTTGAATTTTCAGAAAAAAAAATCCTTTGGAGAACATACACATCGATATGAGTTACCATTCGGCTATAGACCGAGGGGGCCCGCAATTCACTTAAGTCTACTAGGATTCAAGAAATGTGCGGCTGCATGACGATTATCAAATATATATAATTCAAATATTTTGAAATGATAATACTAGATGCAACGGATATCCGGTTACTATTCGGTATCCGGCCTATCCGACCGAATACCGGATAGTTGCGCACTATCCGGCCGGATACCGATAGTGATTCTGTTTGCTATTTAACTTTGAAAAATGGTTATTTTGTATGTATACTACAAAAATTGATAATTTGTTGTTTTTTTCTTGTAAGAAGAAAACAACAAATTACCACTATTCGTTTGTCACGTACAATTTAAACTTATCAAGAAACCTCATTTGAAGTATTTAAGAAATCCTATGATCAGCATTAGGTCTCCATTCAACCAATCGTAGGGTATCGTATGTTAATTTTTACAGCCTTACTGCTTGTTATTTTACTGCCTCCCGCTTTACAGCGCACCCCCCTTTATACAATTCACAAACAACCGACCAGGTGTTAGCCTGACGTCATCGAATAACACGAACATTACTTTTTAAACATTTTGTAAACTACCCGCAGTTATACATCACAAAAACAATGATTTATACTACGTTTAATTATGTATATTTAAATTATAGATATATACAAAATAATTCAAATAATCTGTCACGTTCGCCGCCAAACTAAAATGTACATAGGTATCGTTTGGTCGGCCGAATATTCGGTGGCCGGATACCGGATATTCGGCAAGTCGTAAGGCCGAATATCCGGTATTCGGTATCCGGCCAAACAACTATCCGTTGCATCACTAGATAATACACCAATGTCGATGACGTCATTTTTCATCTGCACTCAAACACCATTCACGGTGCGTGACGTCATTCGTGGACAATCAAAGTCAAAAATCATTTATTCAAGTAGGTAACTAAGAAGCTCAAAGAAACAGAGAGAAATTGGGAAAAAGCGACAAAATTTAATCTTCTCTTTGGGCTTCCATTGCGAGCGCTGCAAGACAGAATTCTTTAGATTATCATTACTACTGGCAAAAGATCCGGGAAGTAGCAAGGCAATACTTAGCCGATTTATGCTAGAGAGGCTAGGTAGTATATTTATTAGTTAATACTTTTAGATAGTATAATAGACACATGAAGGCACTATATAATTTAAAAATCGAAATTAAATTGACTCGGTAGCTCAATTGGTAGAGCAACAGCACGGAACGCTGACGATGCTGGTTTAAGTCCTGCACGAGTCGAAATTTTTTTCAATTTTTTTTCGATTTTTAAATTATAAAGTTCTTACATTGTATATTGTTTTTTTTTTCATTTGTAAAAAAATGTGACGTCACGAGTTACCTGGTGTATTGAACAATATCAAAAGACAGTTTAAAGTATACACTTTAAGGAAACAAAAATCCTTTTTTGTCATAATATTGTAGATAAAGATTTACTTAACACTCTCTAAAAATTGCCTGACCCTACCTACTCACATCTAGACTATTTTAAAACAGGAAGACTTTCTTTGTTTTTTATTTGGGCAATCTAACCTCAGAAACAACAGACTCAATTTAGAAGCCTCTTTTAGTCAGTTTTTCTGATCTAGTGTAGGAAAGGAAGGCGAATGATAAAATATTAAGGGATTTTTTATTCGCAGACACAACATGAGTCGCGGTCAAAAATGGGTGCTCGTCAACCAGAAGATAGCAGTTCTCTGCGGAAACGTTTCTTCCATTGTTTGGTCTTTCATGACCCTTGACAGCGATGATGTGCTGTTGCAGAACTTAGTTAGTGTTATATAACTCTTTCTATGTATAAGATAACTGTCAGAGGTTCTATTTATTTAAAAACCTTTTGAAAAAAGTATACATAGAATTTATGAATTATGTTGTAAAATTTGACCTCTGTTTTGTAGTTACGATACAGATAGGCAGATCTTACAAATCTAATAAATGAATTAATTTATTTAATGAGGTTTATTAACTAGGTACTTCAACGTGTTTTAAACTAATTACGCTAATTATAGTACGAATAATTATTACGTACCTAACTTATAAGTATGCACAATGTTGACTACAGATAAGGACATAACATACACACTTGTTGGAGTATAGTATTATAGCTTCTTTCTTATCTACCTTGACTGTTGGATGTTGCTCCACCCCGGAGCCGAAGCTTCCACACGGAGAAGCTATAATACTATACTCCAACAACACTGAAAGCAATACACGTAAACATACTTATTCTTAGTTAATTCTACATAATAATATAATCTTATCAAAGTTTTACTTTTGAAATTATTAATAGAAGAAAAAGGTCGATATTATGGTTCTTAAATACGCTATTAAGAAGTCTAGAAATTAACTATATAGGTGAGTTTGAGCCATATTTATTTTTGTAATAATTAGGTTATTTATGATCTTATGAAAGCAAATCAATTGTGCTATCTTTGTCGCTTCTGATGTGGCACAGAAGGTAGAGGACGAGGTTATCCTCTTGACTTTGACGGCCTCGTCGGCGCGATGGTAGCAAGGTAGGGCTAGTAATTAAAGGGTCGATTCGCCCATCGGGTGCAACCTCTTTCTGATCGATTTATACTTGTGTCACATGTCAAAAACACTAATAAAGAAACCCACAGATATATAATGTTATGCGACTGGGGTATTTCGCCTACCATCAAGTGAACCCCGTGTTTGATGGTCCTTCTGTATCATAAAAAAAAAAAACCATATGCAATTAAAATACTTGCATACTTTTTTATACTTTGAGTATGACTCGTTCACAAAGCAAGAGTTAGTTCTTTCTGTTCATTAAACTAGATCATGAAGGCCTGAGGTGGGTGATATAGAATCTGGAACTGAAGCCAAATAAATATGACGGCGCATCGCCGTTTAAGAGTGTCAAGAAACGTCAACTGTCACCTGACATTTGACAATGTCACTTGGACGAGGTGCCGTTGACGTTTACGTCACTCTGACACAACTCCGCGCTCTTTTGTGTGTGATCAGTGATGAGGCAATAGGAAGAAATCCGTTGACATCACGCGAAAAACAAGGCGTGCCCGGTGGAGTGTCGTTACTAATTAAAATAACCATAGTAAAGATTGTAATAGCGCCCATCTTTTATTAACATCAATATTAGAACAGTCGATTTGAAAAAGCAGTTTTAGTTCTCCTCGCCCGTCTACCCAATCGCTCGGCAACCATCAGAGACGATGATGATAATGATAATGTACCTTTAAATATATGTTTAACTGGTTTATATTGGCCGGTATTGATCACTGTGTAAATTATTTTAGTACAAACGAATTGAAATAAAAAAATGCACATTTATTTTCTTCCAAATTATCATGAGAAAAAATCATATTTTTTTAATTGGCCCCTGTGGTTTCAGCAGCCCGTTGTGACACTACCTTTATGTACCTAAGACACTTGAATGAACTGCAACCATTGATAGCGAGCTTTACAATTTATTACAATATTATTTTGGCAAATAGTTTTATTACATGAGTAAAATTCATTTAACAATTTGTTACAGGTGACATGTCAAATACTGCATGTATTGAAAAACTTTTTCGCCATGGCCAAGTTTAATGGGATTTTTTCTGAGGCGATATATATCTACGACTCGTTCAAAAATGTACGTAATCGATCATTCATCTTTTCGTACAATGGAGCTGACTCATCATTTTGATAGTTGGCGCTTGCAGCATTCGCGACAGGCGGTGTTGTCATATAAGAAATCCCGCCGTTTTGTTTTATCATTTCTATCTAAGTCACATATGCAATGTGAATTGTTATCTATATGAGAGGTTTCAGTTTTTTTTTTATGTCAGGCAACATCCAGATTCAACAACAACGTGCGCTGGTTCTTGTTCTTGGATTGGGTCGTTCCTGCCATCGTTATGCTATTCTACGTCGCTGTGCGCGTCTTTTACGATCAGTCTACGTATTTGTAAGTATCTTTAAATTTAATTACTGAATTTTTTAAAAATGACGTTCGACCCAAAATTAATTTGGCGCCTTCTTTTTATACAAACGATAAAAACCAATAATCTAAGTTTTATATATTGTTTCATTAAATGTATTTGAGTGATTAAATGTTAACGTAGAGACAGACACTAGGCAGGCGGGTTACGTTGACTAGCCTGTTGCATGAAACGTGAATGAATATTCGATATAGAGTATTTCTTCGATCCACACTTCAAATACATCTGAGCATCATCTCTTGAGCAGAAAACAGTTTATGTAAAATTATTTTCAGAAAAAAGACTAAATTATTCCTAAGACAGTTTCTCGGCCTTTTTATGTTTTCGTAATCTAACATACTCTCCCAGGTAAGAAACGAACGCTGTAAATAAAAACAAGTTTGACACGAAGATCAAAATTGTATACAAAAAATATTTTCCACTGAGAATATTTTTTTTCGATTGCCACCAAAACGCCATTTAGTGTGACAACGCGTGACGTTATATGTGGTCATTTCAGGCGTTCGAGGGACAGAATGGACTCAGTTTGCAGACGTAATCGTTGATTGGTGTTTCAGTAAATATGAAAGATATCGTCATTATCGTTTTATTTAAAAATATTTGAATGGAATATATTACATCATTACTCAATAATCGTAAAAGATGAATGCAGTCTGAATATTAACTGTGAAAATGTTCACTTTCGCATTGTAGTATTAGGTATTTTGAACTCGACCCGACAATTAAACATATTTTTTGTTTCAGCTGCTGGGTCAAGGACAGCAACGCAACAATTCTTATAAATATGGCTATTTACGGAGCCGTCGTAATGTCGTTGGGTAAGTTTATTTTCTATTACTTGTTTAGAGGTGAATTAAGTTAGACACCACCGCTGGTAGCAAAAAAACTCAATCACTCGTTAATCCGTTTAATATAAAAAGACGACAACTGTTTCACACTAGTTGTCTCGCTGTGCACGATTACAATAATTCTACTCAACTTCTTGTGCTAAATGGCTACGACAATAGTAGCGTCGCATACCGATCGCATGGGCATCGAATACGCGCACTATCAGCACTTTTCCCGTAGTAGCACAGCTTAGGGCTGTCGCCTAATAAACAAAGAACAGCATGACTAGTTTTCTTTATTAATATCTTATGTACTAATATATTAATAAACTTAACTCAATATTACAAACTTAAATGGACATTATACAATATAGCATATTATAACTTTAGAAAAAATCCATATCGTCATGTCCATCAGTTAAACTAACGAAGAACGGGTACTACAAGAGGAGAGTACCCGTTATTAGGACTCTAGCCTGTTACCAGATCGTCTCTCGGGAACCGACAGACATACATACAAGAATTGCATATTTCCGAAGGTCCAAAGCCCGTAAGATCTATCGTCTGAAATAGATGTTGCAGGACTGGAGTATTTATTCTCCGTATAAATGAAACCTATGCTTCTGTTGCTACCAAAAACTTCGCTTTTTATGACAGCTTGAAAAGGACATAATTTTAACTTTTTACGTTTGTCACGACAGGTCTTTTCGGAAGAGTCATCATAATGTCGCTCGGAACTTCTCTTAACGAAGGACACCAACGTCTTGTTAGAGGGGCGAAAGCGAATCTCTTCACAGTAAGTTTGTATATCTTTACTAATACTGTAAAGCTCAAGAGTTTGCTTGTTCAAACGCGCTAATCTCAGGAACGGCTGGTTCCAATCGATAACATATTTTTGTGATGGATAGACCATTTCTTCGGCTTCAACCTATGGGCTTAATTTGCAAAAATTATTCATTTTTCAGGGCTTCCGTTGCGTGTGACGAAAACGGTTCTACAAAACAAAAAATATGTATGACAAGCAGGCACTGTTTAGTCCTACCCGCACCGTCTTATAGTACAAGTTTTATTTGTCCGTATCAACTGACATGAATAGCTATTTTTAGATCGTGACAGCGCGTAGGCATGCATTCCACATTCGCTATTTGCTAGTGATATAATTTTGTTTGAAGCTTACTATATAGACAAGTTTTAATTATTATATACTATTTTATATTGATTGAATCCCTCAGACCTAGAATATGGTTTTAAAGTATTTTTTAAAAATTCTAATAGTAGACGCGAATTTGTCCAGGGGTGGCTGCGATTTGGGTTTTTCTGGAAGTAAACTGGGTAAAATGCCTATTTCTGAAGTTTATCGGTTTAGAAAAACAACAAAAAAATGCTTCGAACAAAACAAAAAGTGAATCTTAAAATATATTTCATATTGATCGCATCACAGAAATTTTACAAAGAAATAAGTGCGGGAACATTTATATTAGAGCCCTCAAACTTCCCAAGTGCACTAAATGGACGCGAACTGGCGAAATGAGCCTAACATCCTTTTAGCTCGTGCCTTTTCAATTTCTTCATTTTTGCGTTTTCTTCAAAAAAAGTATTTCAATATTTTACTTAGTCAAGTTCAAAGACTTGTCGATCGTTCTATAAATGTCTAAAACCGTAGTAGGTACGCTCGATCAACTCCGACGCAGGGCGGAGCGATACGTCCACAATCCAGAAAGCCTAGCGGCGGACTGAATTGAATTTTGTTTTGCGCGCATCGATTTCTAGTAGTTATAAAATAATACATTATTATAACACATAAATAAATTTTTTTAAGGTAAATATTTTAAATAAAGTGTTCTTCTATCGCATAGAACTATTTTAATATTAAATTACACGAGATAAATACGTCGTAATTCCTTCATATTTCAAGATGCTAGAATTTATTTATTTTTATTGTTCTAAAACTGTTGAATTTAACAGTTTTCTCTACTAAGTGTTTTGTTAAGGATCTTATCAAAGAGTTAAGATATCACGATATAAGGCTATAACACTGCGTAAATCGCGATTTTTTTCTAATAAGCATTTATAGTGAAATTTCCTAAGCATATAAGTAATCAACATGTACAATAAGAGGTTGATAATTTTAACAGATTTGAAAAGCCGAGTTATAAGCCGAATTGCGCGTGGAGGGTACACGCTCTTAAAGTAAACTCTAAAATTTCTATGAAACAGTTATACAACTATGGTTAAAAATAATTAAGTATCATAAATACATTAATTACAAACATATTCCGCACTTTAAACCGTTAAAATAGACTGCGGACAATACTTATATTACTTCCCGTCGTCTTTACTGAGTTTTTTTGCATACCTTACATTTTATTTGTTAAATGCAGGATGTTTACACCTCGCTGCTAGTTGCTTGTAATATCTAGTTACTGAAACTGCCTCCAGTTCCAGCGGTAGTTCTACCGCTTCCAGCTATTATTTACATTTTATAATAATAGAGATCCAAAACTTTTGAAAATAGTCTCCCTGCCTTGTACATTTGTACCACTTTGTTTGCCTTAGTGCCTACAATATTTATTAGTAACTTGCTATTTTTTGTTTTATAGACCTTGCTGGGGGCCTCTCAGTATCAAGTTATGTTCAGTGCCGCTTCAAAGGTGAGAATTAGCGCAGCCCACAAAATTGCAAACGCAGTTATAAACATTTTGCAGGTAAGAAATAAAAGAAGGTTCTACGAAACAGTAGATAGTGGCTAGTAAGTGTACACTAATGTTACCTTATCTTGTTGTAGAAAACAAAATTTTCTGTTGTATCGCTCGTTCAAGGCGTTATTTTGTTTTTGGTGTTTTTCACAGTATTTCTTACTTTATAGGTAAGTTCTTTTGCTTGCTTTTATCTTAAATTTCTTTTTAATATTGCTAAATTTCCAAAGAATAGCCTAAAGTAGCGTATTATGAAAAATTCGCATTAAACGGGATCGTCTTTAACGGGTTCTGCTGTATTACAATTTACATTGTATGAGCCCTAATATACACAACAAATACTCAAGTTAGTTTTTATATCACACTTAATACAGAATCAGCAATGCAACTAAGTGTTTCCATCTATACTTAATATATAAAGTTGAACGCGCTAATGTCTGGAACTACGGGTTCGAATTGAAAAATTATTTATTTTGTGTTGGTTAGAAAATTTATCGAGGAAGGCTATAGGCTATAACATAACATCGCGCTGTGACTAATAGAAGCAAAGGTACAGCGTGAAAAGTAAACAAAACGGGGGAAATTTGCGTACCCTGCGAAAACGGTTCAAGATAACTAAAAAATGTGTATGAAAGAATATTTTTTTTTTAAATAATCTAAAAAAAAGTTCGCGACTCTATATGTCTATCTTTTAAGATTAGCTTACAAGAACGACGGGAAGGGATGCGATCGACGTCGTGGCTAACAATTTAAGTTTATAGAGATGACGGGGTTTGCAAAACCTAATTTGGTCGGCCAAAATAACCATTCTCGCGGACGAAGACGCTGGTACAGCTAGTATAAAAAATACAAGAAAAAAAACCGCTTGCCCACGTGTACGAGCTTGACGGCGCGTATCTAAATGAGGTTTCTGAAATTCGCGACCTGGAAATAATGCTAGACAGCAAATTAACTTACATACCTCAGATTCACGCAGCAGTAACTAAATCTGCACAAATGTTGGGATTTTTAAAACGTAACACGAATGGTTTCAACACCATAACGAAAACTGTGTAGTACCTACAACTTTCTAGAGCGCAGTCATCTCGTTTATGGAGATATTGTATGGAATCATTTATATGCTATACACACACAACGCATAGAGAGTATACAGAGGACCTTTACAAGGCATATCGCATATAATTGTAGTGGTTTCTCTCATAGACAACCATACGCTGAGCGGCTCAAAAAATTTAAAATGTGTTCATTGCTTAATAGAAGGCTCGTTTTTGTTAAGTCATTAATTGTCAGATCCCTTGCACTTACCTTATAGAATCAATTAATAATATAGTGTTCCACATTCATATCCTCGTTCCACTAGCACCTTCTACACTCCCCCCGTCAAAACGAACATGGGGATCCAAGCACCTTTTGCTCAAATGATGCGATCGTATAATAAATTTTGTCGCACAGATAGGGATGTAGATATATTCAGGAGCAAGCAAGACACATTCAAAAGACTACTTTTTACTCAGTTGGGTCATCTTAGGTTTACATAATTATTTAGGTTTTTCTTATCATGCCATTTTATACTCTTTTAGATATTAACGCATTTTTTTAATATTATTATAAATATTTCTTTAAGTTAGTTATCACTTATTCAATTATATGTATAATATATATTTGTACTGTCATAGTTACTTAAGTCTGAAATAGTTAATTACGCATAATTTGTAGTTATATATGAATTTAATGTAATGTTGTACGAAAATATTGTTGCTGTTGCAGATGTGCACAGAATACTTAACAAGAACAAAGACTATAGAAGAATTCAATATTATATGCGCTTAACCATGGAGAATGGGAATTATAAACAATAACCAAATCTGGTTTGTTGACAGGGCCCGATAGCGTTAGTAAAGTTCGTGTTTATTAGGAGGGAAAATTTGCGAGCTTTCCCCTACTGTCTCTTCCCTCGGCCGACCGCGCAACCACTGGAACTACATAAAGGGAACGGTAAGTTAAAATGTTATCCACCACAATGATTCGTTAGATAGTTGTCTAACCGGTATTTTGTCGGCGAGGTGTATGAAAAGTAATAACTTATTTAGTCGCCCCTCACACTGCACTCGATAAGATCCTTAAATACATAAAAAAGGCAAAAATACGGTTAAATGCAATAAATTGTAAATTATATTATAAAGCTTAACAACGCTAAGAAAATTCTCATACAGCTAGTTATTAAACTTAGAATGGAAATAAAGTAAATTTGCTAATTCGAACTCCGGCGAATTCAGTCGGGCAAGGCAACAACTAGTCTGATCAACAAGTAGTTTATGGACGGGCACAGAAATGTGTACGTCCCATGCCCCACGAAGGGAATCTGAATTTCACTTTTACTAAGATGTCTGTACATTGAATTAAGTTTTTTGTTGATTTTTTTAGTCCGTATCACAAATATAAACAATAAATTGAGCAAATTGTTTGGACCTCACAAAAAGTTTGAAGCAGTAAATACATGTTTGCATACATTTTCAAAAACTATGTTTTCTTATTTGCATAACTTCACTTGTTTAAATAAAGAACATCGGAAAGTTCCGCATGTACAATATGCAATAGGTTGAATAAATTTGACAATCGGGTACAGCAACAGCACGGAACGGACGCCGGCTTAAGTCCAACCCGTGGTGTAATTTTTTCCGGTCTAAAATCGATTTTTAATTTAAGATACGCACGCGGTAACCCCTTATGGAATTAAGAATTACTGTTTTTTGAAATGTTGCTTGCGATTCACCTAGTTCCCTGACTTATTAAACTGTCCCCGCAGGTGGGGCACAAAGCTTCTCGGGCCCGCCATCACGATCTAATTCACATTCAAGTGGGGATGTCGCTGGTGCTAGTCTCAACGTGAATGAATGTCTATCCAGGGAATTAACAGTCCACGATAGTATAGAACAACAGTCGAAGAACCAGAGTAATGTGTAGTTAAAAAGGACACGAATTATTTTTATTAATATTAGTGTTAAAAAATAGTTCTTTCGTCCAATCCGAGGCCGATGCCTCCTTTGGGAGGTCCTCGGTTTGGCCGCCAGTGCAATCGTCCAGTTAGTATTGGCGGCCTCGGGCTCAAATACATAATAATCTCTAAAAACAAGTACTATATATTGCATAAAAACTAATGTGTATATTTTTTCTAAAACCTGAAAGGGGTTGCTCTCTAGCAATAAGGCCTTCTGTAGTTTGATAAGAACATTTGTAAACCCGTTGTGTGTGATGCAGTAGAGAATTATATAAAATTATCATTGTTAAACGTAAAATAATAATGTTATTATGAATGGTGTTTTGATCGGTTCGTTGATCTCGTATATAGCTAATAATGAATGAGTCGGAGGTACGATTCCCACCGTATCTATTAATAATTTTTTTTTCTCTGAAATTCCACACAACCTTCGTGTGGAAAATGTGGATATTAAAACATCCGAAACGTCGGGCCGTAGTTCAAAATAAGTTTAACTAATATGTATCGCGTTTTAAACTGTTAAAGTGTGTTATTTAAATGTGTACTACTCGCGTAAACTACAGACGGTATCTTTGAATGTTAGGAATTATGATATCAACGAAAAGATACATTTATATATAGATTTTTCTATAAATTATTTGTGAACACGAAATGTCGCAATGCAATCGTTTGAATATTCATACATTTTAAAGGACTTAACAGATTTAATTTGTAAAAGATTACGAACAATGTTATCTATACTAATACATAGAGTCCACGACGTTATATGTCTATCTTTTAAGATTAGCTTGTAAGAACGACAGCATAAACGAAGTCGCTGGCCCAGCTAGTTACTAATAAAGTTCAAATCTTTCCTATATTTTTACGTAATCGTGCAGCTTTTTCCGTAAGTTAATACTCTACATGGCTTAAGAGCGTTTACACCCTCCACGCGCAATTTGGCTAAAAACTGGGTTTTTCAAACCTGTTAATATCATCAACCACTTATAAAAAATCACGATTTACGCTGTATTAATGCCTTAAATCGTGATATCTTAACACAGGCTTCCTTAAATCTCGTTTTAGTATCATTTTCGAGGCTTAAAATATATGAAACTTCTTAAAGATGTAATTAGAAAAAAACTTGTAACCAATTTATAAGATCCTTAACCAAATACTTAGTAGAAAACATTTTTGAATTTCGGTATAGAACAATAAAAACAAATAAATTCTAGCAACGTGAAATATGAAGGGATCACAACGTTTTATTTGCCTATTTATCTCGTGTAATTTAATATTAAATTTTATAATGTGATATTGTAGTAAATGCATTTATGAGAACAGTGAATGGTGTTGTTAATACACAATACCATGATTACTTTTAACGGAAAATAAAATCATTAAAAACTTATTTTTCCCTATGGAACGACGCTATTTAGTTAAATATGAGTCTGATCACGCTCGTGTCCGAGGTGAACGCACGCGATAAAGTGCTCTGGCCATTTTTTAAATGTTAATTGTTGATTGTTAGAAATTCTACTTACAAGTGTTATACTGAGTGAAATAATAAGCTATCGTAATCATCTAACTAACAGGAGTTAGTAAAATATAACTATATTGTTGCTTTTAATGTGATTTTGTGCTGTGCAACGTGTTATCTTCTCGAACCGACACTCGATTGCGAAGTTACTTGCGAAAACGCGTAAGCGACGCAATATACACGGCGGTTACGACCTTCTTCTCACAGCTGATAACGGCAAGCACAGCTGATTCCATGAGCAATTCTACAATATTCTCTCGCTACCTACCCTCATCATTGCAAACTAAGAGTATCATGAATTGCAATAGGTGTAAAAGAAGCGGTGAGCTAAGTAAAATGTTGACTTGTAAAACTTGCGAGCGCATGTATCATCATCAATGTCTTAGCATTTCATCGACGCACTTTAATACTTATAAATCGGAATTAGAGCGTTTATGGACTTGTCCTGTGTGTAGAGGAAATACGGACGATGCCACTGCGTCCCAGATTCCGTCTGAAGTAAATGTATCGGGGCAAGATAATTCGGAAATGAGTACCTCAAATCTACAGACGTGCCCTGAGCAAGAGTTTTTCACGCCCGTTTCTCTGCAAGTTGAGATGCGGGAAATGATTAAAAATATTATAGTCCAAGAAACTCAGAAGGCCATGAATAACCTATTGGAAAATGTGATGAAAGTCTTAAATAATAAGTTGAATAGCTTTAGTGAGCGTCTTAAGACTTTCGGGTGCAATCTTAATAAATTGGATATTAATAAAAGTTCCTCTGGATTAGATAAGACGATCGAGCATTCACTTCAATTACCAGGCAATCCCACCGCTAAGTCTAAGCGGAAACAGCAGCGTAAAAAGTTTACTCCTACCACAACAGCTGACAACATTGCACCTCCGGCTGAGCCGCAAAGTCAGGTCTCGTTCTCTCAATTACAGGATTCAGCCTTAACTTCTCAAGTTGGTAGTGCCTTTAAACAGACCGCTAGTATAGGGGACTGGACGGAAGTCAGGAGAAAGAAACCTCGACAAGCTTCACGTATTGTGCAGGGAACAGCTCAATGCAATGTTTCCGGATTGGAGGCATCGGAGAAAATTAGCTATTTCCACTTATTTTATGTTAAAAAAGGCACTAGTGCCGAACAAATTAGCAACCATTTACAAAATATATGCGGCATTGAAAACACTTCAGTTGAAGTACTCAACGCTCGAGGTAATTATGCATCCTTTAAATTGGGAGTTCCAACTAGGATGAATTCAGCCGTGATGTCAGGTGAGAATTGGCCGTCTAATATATGTATAAAACCCTGGCGAAGCAACTTTCGAGTCCCTAAAGTACACGAATAGATTATCTATACCGCAAGGTAAAAAGTGCACTTTAGGTGTTTATTATCAAAATGTAAACGGTCTTAAGACTAAACTAAATGATTGGAGAATGAACCTCGCAATGACTCATGACCTTCATTTAATAACCGTAACGGAGACAAATCTGGATGCATCAATTCAGGATAGCGAAATAATCTGTGGTGACTGGTCTGTGATTCGCCGTGATCGTGGTCGCCCGGGAGGTGGTGTTATGATGCTGTGGCGACCACCTGTAAAGCTAAGACGGTTACCACAATATGAAAGCGAACACACTGAAGAGTTATGGGCTAGATTTGAACTCTACGGGCACTATATCTATATCTGTTGTATATATTTTCCTCCTTCATGTCCTGATTTATTGTACTTTCAATGGTTTGATAGTGTGAATAATATGTGTAAAACTCTTAATAGTAATCGACTTATCGTTGTAGGCGATTTTAACTTTTATAGTTGTAGTGATGAGTGTTTATTGGGCTTCAATAGTTTTTTAATAGAATGTAGTTTAAAGCAACGTAACAATAAGGTTAATAAGAATGCAAGAGTTTTGAATGGGGTCCTTACTGGTGCAGAATTAAGTGAAAATGATGTGGCTATTGAGGTTGTTAACCCGGGGGATGAATTATCTAAAATTGACGGTCACCATCCTCCACTTAATATTAATATAACTTTCCATTTTCATAATAAAGTACCTATTATAGAACCTTCTAATGTGCACAGCCTAAATGAATGGAATTTCCATAAAGGCAATTATACATTTTTATATTCTATCCTAAAAGATTTTAATTGGAACGAACTCTATACAATGCGTTGTGTGGACAATGCCGTACAGTTTTTTAATAATACATTGTATGATTCATTTGATCAGTGTATTCCCAGGAAAGTTAGAAAAACTACTCGGCAACGAATTTACCCTGTTTACTATAATTGTGATATAATTTACAATTTGAAAATTAAAGCTCATCTTCATTGGCTTTGGAAATACAAAAAGGACTTAAATGCTTTTGAGGAGTACAAACAACTGAGAACTATATTAAAGAATGATATAAAATTAGCACATAAAAATTATCTCAAGAGTTTGTCCGATAGTCTCAGTAGTAATCCTAAAAAATTTTGGCAATATGTTAATTCAATGCGCAAAGCAAATGGCTACGAATCAGCTGTGATTTTTGATAATGAAGAATATAAAGGCAGTGGAATGGCTGAAGCGTTTGCAAATAATTTTAAAGCAGTTTTCTTACCTAATGCTCCTGTCTTAGATGTTTCTGCAGTATCTGGTAATATTAAGGCTAATTCTAGGTATTTCGACTTAAATATATTAAGCGATGAAATTATTATAAAAAGCATTAAAAAATTGAAATCTTGCACATCTCCAGGTCCAGATATAATACCTGCTTTTATAGTTAAGGCTTTAATAGACTTTCTTATTAAGCCAATCGCATTTATTTTTAACCTTATTCTAGATACAGGCACTTATCCATCGGCTTGGAAATTATCGAGAGTTATTCCCGTTCCTAAAGCGGGAAGCAAGTGTGACGTTGAAAACTATAGACCGGTAGCTATTCTATGTACACTAGCTAAAGTATTTGAAATGTGCTTATATTATTTTATTCTCCCAGGATGTAAAAGTTTTATTTCTCCATATCAGCATGCCTTTCTTCCCCAGCGTTCAGTGACTACAAATCTTGTTTCTCTTGTAGAATGTATATCACTAGAAAAGGATCAACATAATAGAACTGACGTTATTTATCTGGACTTTTGCAAAGCTTATGACAAAGTCGATAATGATGTTCTTCTTTTGAAGCTGGCTGATGCTGGATGTGGGCCGAATTTGCTCAGGCTGTTTTCTAACTACTTGTCCGGTCGAAAGCAGTTTGTTAAATACGGTCCATATGTATCGAATACTTACCATACGCTAACGGGAATTAGCCAAGGATCTAATCTTGGACCTTTGCTGTTTTTAATTTTAATTAATGACCTACCTGACGTTGTTAATTCATCACAAGTTTTATTGTTTGCGGATGACCTTAAAATATTTAAAACTATTAAGGAACCGAACGATTGTTTACTATTACAAGCAGATATTGATGCGATTTATAAGTGGAGCGTGGAAAATAAATTATTTTTTAATAATAAGAAATGCCAATGGATGACCTTTTGTGGCTCAGCCTGTTCTGTTAATGATGAGTACAGAGTAGGTGTAGATGTTATACGTAAAGTTGACAGAGTCAAAGATCTAGGTGTTACATTTGTGCCTGATCTAACTTTTCGTGAACACATCAGGAACATAACTGAAGTTGCATACAAGAGGTTGGGATTTGTCTCGCGTAATAGTCACGGTCTGACAGATAAAGCTACTAGGACTTTATATGCTGCATTAGTCCGAAGTGTAGTCGAGACCAGTACGGTGGTATGGACGCCACACGAAGAAAAATACATCAATATGTTAGAGAAGGTTCAGAAAAAGTATCTCAGAAATCTGTATAAACAAATTAATTCTTTTTATCCTTACCTCTATCCTACAAAGTTTCTTTTGGGGTCCTTAGGATACAACTCTCTCGAAAGAAGAAGAGAAATTGCTTCACTTAAGTTTGCAATAAATATTTTAAGGGGGAGAACGGATTCAATCCAATTACTCCCTTGTCTACTGCGGCTTTATGCTCCTGACAAATACATTCGGTCTCGTGGGCATCAACTTTTGGCCGAAATGCGATCGCGTACAACTCTACGCCAGCAGTCACCTATACCGCGCATGATATCACCGCTCAACAAATTTCTTAATTCTGCTCCAGAATGTGACATATTTGCGTCAGGGTTGGGAAAGTTAGGAGATGAATGTATGCGGTTCTTAGATATAGATTATTAGCTATAAGTTAGTCTTAAGGCAAATGGCAATAGCTGTAATTAAATAAATAAATAAATAAATAAATAAATGAGTTATCATTTATATAATTACTATTACATATACATATTTTTATCTTCTTTAAAGCTTTTTATACAAATATATTTCTACGATACAATTTTGTCTATTTCAATAGGAATCGATTAAACGACACTCTCAAGGATCGCGTATGGATATCTCTATTTGGTTATTTCTTGGCCTCTATTTCGTTATCTCTGTCTTGAGCGCAGTCCGTTAGAAAATTGGTTGCTTATAGTTAAATTTCATACTATTACATACTTCTCTTTTGTTATATTTTTGTTTTGTCTCAGTATTTTAGTGAAAGATAAGTGTTCGTAGCCCTTATTGTCTCTGAATCAATTATTGGTATGTTACTTTTGCTTTATATATGTAAAATCTTTAATTTATCCCAGTAACGAAAATAAATGGCAGTATTAGTTTTCTTAACGTTCGTCTAAACTATGTTCAGACTTGCCAAGTTACGGCGGCCGTATTATATTATCATAAAATATCACTTTAAATATATACAAGGTTATTCTTTGTTGATACTAAAGGTGAAACACGCCAAACGTCTTTTTATTCGCATAATCAGGATAAAAAATCAAAATTAAAAAATGAAAACTCACATGTAAGTCTAGCGTTAATTATTAAAACAAAGAGAAAATTTTAATCACCATTAATTTATCGAATCTTTGAGCTTTATCATTTTCGAGCAGCTCTTGTGCTCATCTGAAATGATAAACGTATTGGTGGTCATTCCTTAAATTCCACCACACGTAAGACTGACTTACGTTGAATAATCTCCTCGCCTCTGTCTCCTGCGACAGGTCTGAACTGGGCATGGTCTCGTAAGCGCTGCGTAACGCTCAGCATTGTGTTCCGTGATACCAAGACGCCAAATTGTTCATTATAACGTCTCACTGCTTCGGCAACATTATCACCACACAAAGCAAGTGTTCGCACCATTACCACATATTGTACATTGGTATAATTGTAAGACATGTTTCTAATTAACACACTTAAAAAAACACCGCTAAAACAAGTTAAAAATCATTTTCAAATCAGTTCAACTAATATATCGCGTTTTAAACCGTTAAAATGTTTTATTTAAATATGTACTACTCGCGTAAACTATAGACAGTATAAAACTACTTTCAGGTTTCGAATGAAGTAGGAATAACCTTGTATATATAAAGTTTTTTTTATTTTCGTCGAAAAATTAGTTTCAAACTATTCTCTGTTTATTTTCTGAACTATTGTCTAGTTATTAATAAGCCATACAACTACATATTTTTCACCATCTACTTAGTGCTGATTCTGGTCCCGGGTTTTTACTCCAAATCCAAATTGAAGGGCAATTGCAGGTAACGAGAAAGACTTTATGTTTATTTGCAGTCTGGACAGGTAAAAACGTTTCCTTGAAAGTTGAAATAATAGATTATTATAATGAATGTCTGCAACCAGAAATTATAGACCCATGAAAGTCTAGATAGATGCCGCTCATAAGCGGCATCTATCTAGACTTTAAAAAATAGTAAAAGTCATCACTTTTACTAATTTTTAAAATTCATGTTACACTTAAATAATTTTTAAATCCGAATAAAATGTTTTATTGAGCAGTAAAAAATATGAACTGATGATGTTGTTGTATTTACTGACACTACGCCCTTAAATCGTGAAAAATTAATTTCACTGTGTATCAAATAAGAAACACTACTATACGATATACATATATTGTTTTTAAAAGAAGCTCATTTATATATATGTTATGGGTACTAGTACAAAACCCTCGGTGACCGCATAATTATTATAATATTGCAAGGATCATGACGAGTTCTAGCGCTACAAATCGCCCCAACTCACGCACACAGACTCTTTTGCGTCTGTGTGAATGAATTTCGCTCTGAAATACCTAAACTTAACATCGCGCGTAAGGTGTAAACGCTCTAAACAGGCATAAGATAAGACGAAGAAGAACAAACGAAATGAAATGTATTATTTTGTATAAATGGGTAATTATTAATTCCGAATACTTATCTGTTGGTATGAACTACTTTCAAGAAGGGACATAGATCACAATATTCAAAGAAATAAAGTAATATGAATAATATGATAGTTTTGATTTTCTCCAATTTGTTCACCTACTTGCAGTAACTGATTACGCGCCGGTAAAGTTAAAGACTTTTGAAAAATACGAAAGTATAAGTTTTGATTACCCTCAAAATTGGTGGAACTATTTCGCACCCAAAAATGGCTAATTAATTAGGCAATAGGGGAATAAGATAAAAATTAAGGAAAAATAAGGACTTATGAAATAAGGACTCACCGAATAGAATAAATTTAACAGGACTCACACACTTGTAATTAGTTTAAAGTGGTGTCAACGACCCGCGCGGTGTCCGGTAACTGCCCTCACTCTGCTCGGCCTGTGTTGACTGCACACGGTGAGGTGCGCGGGCAGGAGGGGTAAGCTATTGGTGGGAAGGACTTATAGGACATGCGAAGTCATTTTGGATACCTATTGCCTAGTTCAACCAAATCCAGTCTCGAAGCACGAAATAGCCCAACCAGTAACAGTTACTAATCTCAATTATTTTATATAGATACCTCAATCCTATTTCTCCTTATTTATTAAGCCATTATTGAGACAGAAGAAACAAATGGTTTGTCTGACGATCGTCTCGGAACTATCGGTAGAAGTTATTTTCGGTCAGAATTCCTTTATGAGATAAAATGTAAAGATTGTACTTTGAGTTTAGAAAAACAATACCAATCTATTAGTATTCAAGTTATTAAAAGTATGAGTAATCATTTATTTACAGTTCCGCCTCGTTGTGAGGTAATGAAACACTTTTCAACGTCACAGTTAAGTAATTCGCCCTTTTAATTAATAGATTTATAAAAGTGCGTGCACAGCGGGTGTTATGTCGAAACAATGAAATGGTTATATTCTTGTTAGGATTTTAAATATGACTATGCATTATATTTATTATACCATCCAACCATTACATGAATTGTAAAATTTGCAAGTAAAGTAAGATTAAATTTTTTGGGTCATCTCGTTTACTAGATTGAGAATTGTACAATATTATACAATTGAATTTAATTAAAAGTTGTAGCTGCGTAAGAATTTATTCGCACTTACATACAGTAAGTACCACACACATACAGAACATTTATGAATCGTATTTCTCGCTCAGATGTATTCCATCAAAAATATTTTCTTTATAAATAACAAGCCGAATCTTACAAAGTAAAACTCAGGTCCTATTAATTCATTTTAGTATAACAAGCAAGCAAGTCTGTAGATGAATTCGATGGTAACAGCCGCGAGAGCGTAAGAGCACTGTCGACCAATCGACGACTCTCTAATCTCTCAGCGACCAAAACAGAAAAACTCGAATCAGGAGCCCAAGCCGAGCGACAATATTCCAAGTGCATTCGAGCAGAATGAACGTCGATTACCAACTAGTACTAAGAATAAAGAAAAAGAAAACCAAAAGAGTGTTGGGTACATCCAATGTTGCAAGATCTTCAATCAAAAAGAATGGTTAAAAATGAGAAAATACTTTCGTAAATTTTTCGCCTTCGACCAGTCGACAGTGCGTAATAGCGCTTATGTATGCTTATACAATGTACCTATATATACGTCTTTTATTGGTGAGTAGTTATACATTCCTCGTGTTATAAGGTTTCGTACGAAAATTAAAGTAGGACCTGCAGAAGTCTGTTTCTTTTTTTTTACATTTTTTTATTACATTAGATTGATGGACTGATTCGTGAGAAACTTTGGATGGATTGAGCGTGGATTCGGTGGAAAACTAACTCAAAATTCCTTCTCTAGTCATTAGGAAAATATTGGTTGCCAATTGGGAAAATTTTGGGTTGCCATGCGTTTTAGGAACGTCTGTTTTCGTAACAAGAGGGCAAAACAAGGAAGACAGATGTAAAAAACCGAACCCTTCGTCCCCTAGCCGTTGAAAGGATTTTAATTATATAATTGTCACAATATTATGATGGTAATTAAAACCTTCGTTCTGGGACTTCATTAACAACATTGCATGCGAGGAAGCAAGCACGACCGCAAACTAAAATTGAATCTCAACTCATTTAATGTAATGCAATTTCTTAAACGTCCATTCCTTTGCTACTGAGACACACTTATTTGTTGTCGTTCTAATTGTCAATGTAGTCTGGGAAATTAATAGCTAGCAAATTTGCTTAGGCTTAGGACCTAGGGAAATGGTTCTCGACAGTTAGATGATACTTTTATTAGAATGGCTCGAAAACCCAAGAAGCTTTGCGTAATAAGTGCGAAAGCAAGTTATAAAGAGCGTCTTCAAGTCTTTCGACACCTCGATATGGTACGTCTGTTGTCCAAGGAGGCCAAATTAGATCGTTGGATACGCTCGTACGATTCAGCTAATGTTGCTTTTATACACTATAAATATAAAAACTTTATATGTCTTTTTACCATGGCAGCTTACGCGTCACAAGCTTTTTTTATTTTTATTATGATTTTACGTATTGAGCCCAAGGCTTAAATAACCGCCCAAACGTCCGGTTAGTTTACAAGGGTGCCCCGAGGGGGGTCGTCACAAGCAATCGAATAACATAGTATGAAACATTTTATAATGCACGAAACGTTGTGGATAGGATCGAACCCTGGCCGTGCCTTTGTTTTTATTCTGTACGGACAAACGCCTGTACGAATTTACTGTATCTTCATTATAATATTTTTATAGCATAGCTAGCATAAATCTAAATCTATGTCAATATTTGCACACTCAAGTGTTTATATTAAGAGCAAATATTACAAGGTAAGCTTAGTGAGCATCCTACTTTCCCACTTTTTGTAAATTATATTAAAACAACATTGAAAGGAAATACTGTCTATAGTTTACGCGAGTGCTTTGCAGCAGCCGTGGTCTCCCCGTGACCACGGCTGCTGCAAAGCATCCGAAACGTCGAGCCGAAGTTAAAAATCATTTTCAAATAGGTTTAACTAATATATCGCGTTTTAAACCGTTTAAGTGTTTAATTTAAACATTGAAAGGAAATAAATCAGTTGCACTACGGCGCTCATTGGGTTTGGTTACCTCGCCTCCCTCTTAAACTTTATCTTAGCATTTATCTTATATAACTTTCATATACATTCATCTTTACTTTCCAAACTGTTTTACACAACAGTTTCTTGTACCCGAAACTCGGCAGTATACGCTTAAACTGTTATACGCTACATATTCCATTTACTATATACTGCATTACTGCAGCGACCGCCAAGAGAGACTTATTTAGACGAACATAACATGATCGGGGGTCGTGGCAAAGTCACATAAGTGCATGAAAGCTTTGTTGCGTTCAAGGCATGTTGGTTTGGGTATCGGCGTTTTGATATTACGTCAAAACAGTATAGCGTTGAGCAATAGTGTCCAATGTACTCCTGAAGCCGATGCCGTCTATGTTGGTACTGCTATTTTTAACAATATTATCAACGAAAGATGTTGTAATATCGATAAGATAAATAATCTGGCGCTTAGTGTATCCCCTATTATATATTATATTAGATAAAATAAATTTAGACAATTTAAGAACTAACGACGGACTGACAAATCATTCAATTTCCGGTTCAAATGATATTAAAAATGAACATTAATTCTTGAAAATTTCCCTCGTTCACGTCTGAGCGGACAACTTTTGGCGAAAAGCGACACAGGTCCCGCTTCGAAGGCGTCTCGACGCCGTCTGATTTTACACTTCGTTCTATACCTACTCGTGGGAAGAAAGTTTATTCGAAACTAAGATGATTCTAAGCGCAATGAATTAATGCAAATATTTGTATAGATAGTTATTTATAGATTTAATTACCTCGTTGGTCCATTGATATATCTAAACGGATCGTGGGTTCGTTTCCGTATTCGTATAATATGGTTTATGGTTTAAGACGTTTATTTCTCTTAAGATTTACAAAATCACTTACAGAGAAATTATGAACTATTCTTAATTCTAATTTATTACAAGTCAAATCATATCAAAAATAAAAATAACAAAAGCGGGTTGGATATCAAAACTTTACGCAAGTTCTATTAATAGGGCGGCTCATTCGCTTCTTATCTCTAATGTATCTTGTAAAGGTTTTGCACATCGCATAGCGTAGCGCTACATTGCTATAGTTTTACACATAAACAAAATATTGAATATATCTAATTTAACAACAAAAAATGTTTACTTATGTTTATTATTATAATATGATTACTACTATAGTTTAGAAAAATCCTTTATAATGTGTGCTTTTAATTTATTTTTAAATATGCTAAATGAATTTGCAACTTTAATATTCATTGGAAGATGGTTATAAATTTGAGCTCCCTCGTACATTATATTTTTTAAGCCATAATTAGTTCGTGGTCTTTTTAGATAGATATTGCCGCTTTGTCTAGTTATACATTTTTTGATGCTATAATTTATCACTAGTTTTATCTCGCTGTGCACTTCTTTATTTAGCAACTTTCTTATTAATAAACATGTATTATATTTATATATTTGTGTGAGATTAAGTAATCCAGTTTCTTTGTATACTTTAAGAGTTGGCTTCCAAAAATTTAGTCGGAAAACTTTTTTAATGATTTTATTTTGAAGAGTTTTGATTGGTTTCAAATTTGATGTAGCAGCTGTTCCCCAGATTTCAATTAAGTATTCTAGTTGCGACTTTACTAGAGAATTGTATATTACATACTTGATTGGTTTTGGTAAATTGATACTTAAATTCCGAAACAAGCCTGAGAGCGCAGTTAGTTTATTTCTTAGATGTTGAATATGGTATTTCCAGGTAAGTGTACTGTCTATAATTAAGCCTAAATACTTCTCTTTTGTTACTTTATTAATTTCTTTATTTTGTATAGTTAAGGGAGTGAAAGTGTCAATAATTTTGTTTTTAGCTGCAAATATCATATAATTTGTTTTTGTTGTATTAATAGTGAGTAAATTCGATTGAAACCAGTCATGTAAGATATTTAGGTCATTTTGGGCCATCGCAGCAATAGATTTTATGGATTTACCGGAGTAAAATAAACTCGTGTCATCGGCGTATAGTGTGATGTTCCCTAATAAACCAATTTTATGAATGTCGTTTATATATATTAAAAACAACAGGGGGCCCAATATGGAGCCCTGGGGTACACCGTAGGTAACTGTCTGAGGTTTGAACACTAAAATTCTATTTCGTACTGCAAGTTGCTCACCATAGGTTTTCAGAAATTGTTTGACATTGGACGTCGGTTGTCTATATACTAGTCCAACGTCTAGGGACATGTTCTTAATGTGTACCCACAGGAAGTGGTTATTTTCTTCGCAAGCATTTATTAGAACTTCATGCTGCATGACGCTTATACATTGACACACCGCCACCTCTTGAATATGTTCTGTAATTATAATGATGATAATAGTTTGGTATATTCAGATATTGTGCATCCGGCTCATTCTTGATCCAGGTCTCAGTTAAAATTATAACATGTATAACAGTTTTAGAGCTTTGGATAATACATCTCAGTTCATCACATTTTCCTTTTTTTACAAGGCTTCGAGCATTAATGTATAAAAAGTTTATTGATTTGGATGTGGTTGAAATATCTGTGTAGTTATTAGTTATTTTATATGTTATTTCTTTGTTCTTCTCTGTATCATATCTAGTGCTAAGATTTTTAGTTTTTAGTTTTTTGGAATCTTAGTTATTTTTGGAATTCCTCTAATGTACTTTATAATAAGAGAATCCTCACCTTTTTCTTGGCGAGCCTTGAGTTCATCTCTAAGGTTATTGTAATACTGTCTTTGCTGTGGGGTCTGGTCTGGATAGATACGAATTTCTTCAATTGAATTCCTATTTTTGCTACGGAGAATTTTACCAGGTATATCTTCTGACTCAAAACAAACCTTTCGTATAATATCGTATTGTAAATTTATAATCATTATTTATTTATTTATTTACAGCTATTGTTTTTTACCTTAAGACTAACGTATAGCTAAGAATTTATATCTAACAACTGCATGCATCTTCTAACTTTCTCAACCCTGTCACAAATATACCACATTCTGTTGCAGAATTAAGGAATTTGCTGTGCGGGATATCATGCGCGGTAAAGGCGCGGCGTCGATGAGGTGCATCACTCCTGGGAGGTGGTCGGACCCAAACTCGTCGACGACCACCTAAACGATGCGACGATCCGCGCTGTTGGCTAAGCGTAGGCGACCGTCCTCTTTGGCGACTCTTCATGGAGTCACTCGACGTTGCTCTTCCCTCAGCTGAACAGAACGAACGCGTTCCGCCGTATCGGGTCTCAGAAAGACGAGACGCCCACGCAAACGCCTACCTAACAAACTCACAGCGGCTTCAATCCCTGTAGTTGACTGTTCAGTATTCCTATATGTAAACAAAAACCGTGTTAATGCTACATTTATATAAGGGGGCCTACCACAATCTTTTAAAAACCATCATGTATCAGTAACGTTTTGTTGCAGGCTTAAAACAACATTACTCAGATTCGTACCATGACCAATATAAAACAATAATGTTTTAATCCTGCGTAGTGATGTAAAAGAACGAATGATCGTCTATTCCCTGCGTAAGGAGAAAGCGAGATAGCTAATCTTTTTCATATAGCGTCATCACTTTCGCACAGTGTTCCGAAACACGCACTTACAGTTAAGATTTTGGATTTTTGGGTACTTAATATTTTTAACCATATATTATGTGTAAAGTTTTTAAAATAAATAAAAGTATATTTAAATAAATTTGAAAATTTATTTTTTTTTATATAAAATTAACTCTTATCATAAATTTAGGACGTAAGTATGTCAAAAATAGGGAAGTCGTGACGAGGTGTCAGTGAAATTCGGCGCGGGAACGCTTGAATATTATAAAGTTTGTATGTTTAAAGTAAATTGCAAATTTTACATATCTCAATTTTAAAATGGCAGAAGGAAAGTAAGTACAAGTTCAAAATAGTGTTTTTATAATTTATTTAGTTTATAAAACCAAGAAATATCTTTCGTTTAGCTTAAAGTTCTCGTCGCTTGGAATTTTGTCGTTGGTAGTGACAAGCTCTCAAGCTTTATGCAGAATTGCAGAGAGTTTAGAAAAAATACACAGCACCTTGCAAAACATTGAAAGGTATTTTAATTTTAGGTTAGAGGTAACAAATGTGATTTTATTTAAAAACTACAAACAGATTTATCAATTACAAATGTAAATGTGTACAAAACTATCTCCCGCTTTTGAATATAAGCACAGTAAATAATAAAGTTTTATTAATAAACTATACATGTAAAAAAAACTTTTAATATTATAATAAAATAAAACTAATAACAAAGTTAATAATATTAATGTTCACTCCTATTTACAGATCTATAAATGACGCCTTTCCCAGAGCTGGGCAGTCCTAGTAGCCCATCCTTGGTGAAGTTCTATATTGTCGCCGCGTGAGTCATCATTGTCCTTCTCAATGGATAGCCAGAGTCACCTGAAATAATAATATTGTTACTTGTTAGACAATTAAATAATTCATCTCAATTACATCTTTCACTCAAAACAAAACATATAAATACCTAAAAACCTGCATTACTTAATTCTTCTAGATGCATTCTCAATTGGTAATTAGCACCGATAAAGGAGTCATGGGCAGCACCGCCATGACTTGCATCTACACTTAATGTTTTCATATGTGCATCACAAACCTGAAAAAACATAGTAAAATAGTTATATTTATATATATACAACATTCTTTCGACTCCTGTCCCTTTTGGATCGACGTCGAATAGCTGACTTTACCTTCCTTTTAAAAGTAATAACTAACAAAATTGACTCCCATGAGCTTCTAGAGATGATATATCTTAATGTACCACTCAAGACACTGCGGCTTCCAAGACACCCCTCTTCTTCACATTCCTTCTGCTAAAACCAATTTCAGGCAAAACAGCTTCCTGGTGCGCGCCTCCACATGTTTCAATAGGATATGTAAACAGCACGACATTGATCCCTTTTTTATTAAGTGTACCCTTCGTAAAAAGAATCTTATTTCACATTTTTTCTAATGCTTATAGTACTGGATAAGCTAACACTCATTGCTGTTAATTAAATTGATAAAAAAAGTGTTTCTTCAAACTCGTTATCTAAGCTCGCATTTTTGTAAAATTGTGTAAAGTTCTACAGTTCTGAAGCTAAAAGTGAAAACTTTTAATTGGCTCTCTGATATGTAATATTTTGTATAAAATAAAATCCTATTGTTATTAGCTGTAAGTTTTCCATGTTTTAATAAATAAATATAATAAGTAATATTTAAAGTGTAAACATACAGTACCTCATATTACTTTTTTATTGTTCAAAGCTATCCAAATCTTTGTTATTATTTCAATAACATTTTAATAATATATCAAATGTATGTTTGGAGTTTATACATGACTTACCAATTGAACATTCAAAGAATGTTTGCGACAAAAGTAGCGTTCTTCATTTAGAGCAGGCTGTGCAATAGCAACATGGGCACAATCTATACATCCTAAGATACCCGGAATGTTAAATTTGTTATAGAATCTAAAAAATATATTAACATTTAATATACAATAAATTGTTTCATATATACAGAAAGGTTCATTTGTCTAGTCGCTTGACTCTGAACATAATATGACCTTACTACATAATAATAACATATAGTTTGGGAACCGGATATATTTTTGCCTCATTTCAATAGAATTAAGGCAAGCGGTCACCTGTGCAATAACTGAGGACACAGTTTGCTGTGCGATGAAATGGCCTTCGATATTGCCAGTGGGCCGTTGATAGGACCCAGTTGCATAAAATGACAATGCAGTAAGTACCTAAAAGTTTGCAAGTGTCAGACATTTATTTATATTTCATTTGTTATTTATGAAATATCTACATCATTTAGTGATTAAATAGTAATTAAAATACCTTCGTCTCCACAGACAAGTGGATTTAACTGGCTTCTTTAGTAGAGGCCTTAATTCATCACACAACTTATACGTGAACTCCTTCGTAAGCCTATATCTTTTAACAAACTCAATTTCGTCAAGGTCGAAAGGGTCACATTCCTGACGTAAATGCCTACGACGCTGCTTCTTCGATGAGTTTGTTTCGGCATTATCTGCTTCCAAAAACTCGAATATTTCATATTCATCGGCCATCTAAAACCACGCCCACATTTATCATGCACATCTAAATTTTTATTTGAATTTAATGTTTTCAATATAAGAATGGATTTTTTATAAAGAGAAATCTACTTTTTTTGCAAAGCTGGTCAAAGCGAATGTAGTGACTGGGCCCTTCAGATAAGTGTTCGCTCATCGCAGATTTGAAAAGACGTTATTGATATTCGCAATGTGTTCGGCCGATGAAGGAAAGGCCACAATCACAATTCAGTCTTTAAACGCCTGCATTTTGTAGAGAGATTGTACTTTTTCCTCTTATGAGAATTGAAACCTGTATCATTAGAATATCGTTTTACAACTTTCTTCACACAGGTAGGGCTGATGTTGTACTGTGGGTGTTTCGTTCCTATGCCTGGGACGCGGAAGGGGGATTCTAAGCTTGTTTTTGCATAGGATCTGCTTGACATGCCTTAGTTCCTCATTCAAATGGGCAGCATCACGGCGGCGGTGGGCTCGCTGAAACAAAGGCGAAGTAAGTTAGGAAACTAAATTGGTCAGGGTGATGATGCGCATCACTGTTCAAATAGGTACTTAGTAATGTGTCTAAGAAAGGTAAAGATAAAGCCTAGGTTAACAGGGATGATGTGAGCGCCCTCGCCTCAAAGTCATGCTAAAAAATTTCAGAAATTGAAGGTGAATTAAAACAAAAAATAGATAGAAACACAGTGATATAAAATCTTATATATTATATACTAAAATACTCGAAGCCCTGACAGTAGCTGAATGCAGCTTCAATACTTAGGTGCTAATAAAGTTAGCTACGGGTCTTGTAGCAACTGCCTCAACGGACTACGCATAACGTCGTGGGCTCGATGCAGACGACTAAGTACAAGCATTTACCGAGGCAGCAGTGCCTCGGCAAGTAAGTTAGTTCTTGCGGCTGGGACGCGAAGCAGCTGAGGCAGATGGTGCGTTCAGGCGTAATTATCTGGGATGTATAGGTTGTGCCAGATCACAAAAAATAAATCTATTGATTAAAACCAATGTAGAAACGGTAAGCGAAAGCGTGAGAGTGCGTAGACTGGGGTGGGGAGATCCGCGACCTCACACCTTTGTTGTTGCCGCAGCGCCCTTGTGCTGAAAAAAATAAAATTAATTGTCTATTGTGATTGGCAATTTGAGTAATATTTTTTTAAATACTGAAGAGTCTTTTTTTTCTTTAGATCGATACCTCAGAAACAATCGATTGGGTCAAGATAAATGACTAAACGCTTTTTTCACAAACTATCATTAAATCCGTAGAGAACAAGTCATTCCGATCGATCGATCCACTCCGGGAAACCCCTGAAGTTTACTCGCGTTTTCGAATGTCCAAAGCCAAGTGCCCTATCCGGCCGGTACTTGCCCGACCTGCCCGATATGTCGCATCCGGGTCATGCGTACGGGACGTCAACAACACAAACGTCACTTTGACGTGTACAGAGTCTAGGCAACGGGAGGGGGCAACGATAATAAAAAGAAGCGCATTCGTTGAGTCGGGGGCCTGGAACCGCGTGTTACCCGCGGTGCACCCCGGACGCCGGTGCGAGTGACTAGTTCCCGCCGGCGACCAACTTTCTTACAACCACGAACGCCGACCCGCATCTATATCCGCTGGCTTGCCGCGAGACGCGGAGGCGTTCCTGAAACATCGACAACGACCCAAGGGACCGCCCTGTATTCGCAGGGCGCGATAGATCACCCCTTGCAGGGCCCAAACGGGCCGATCAAGGAGGTCGCGACTGCGTCGCGACCAGGAGAAACAC